ATTTCAAATCGTTAATACCTATTAATGAATTACGAAAATTAATGTAAATCCGATTCAGAATCGAAAATAAATCGTAAGTTAACAACTGTACAAGCAAAAGGGTAAAATGTAACAAGCCATAAAAATTCCGCTCGCAATCTTACAAAATTAAACAATCCCCTAATTGTAAAACGCTTTACCGGCAAAATTATCAATTTGTTTGAACGGAGAGCCATAACGAATAATTAAAAGGAGATTAAGACGTACTGCTAACGCCATCTATGTTTGGAGTACGCAGTTATTTTAAATAGAATGCAGAGTAATCTGTTAATCATGCAGATTGTGGTTAATCAAGAGGTTTCCTTGGTAATTAGAATTAAATACGTACATTAATTTATTAACTCGTCGAGTACCGGTTTTGTAGACACAATTATAGAACAATAGGTTGCGGTCACCGGTGACCGCTTGGTGTTTGACAGTTTAAAGGAAGTACTTAGGTATTGTATGGTTTCTTAGTTCAATTACAGAGATAGGTACCTAGTGGGTTCTTTTATCGTACGTTGGTGGGCAGGCAGATGTTTGATTCCTAAAATGGTCACTGCATTATTGAAACTTTCTGATAGACATTTTCATTTTTGATTTTCAGAAATTCCAGGAACATTTAATAGACCTATCTAATAGAAATACCTTAATTAATAACCCCTTGCTCGGTACTCAAACTTTTTCAATAGGTATATGGGAACAAGATATAAGAGTGCCATTCGCTTCACACTGACAGAAATACTTACACATACACCTACCTCTGTCTAAATACCGAGTAGATAACTATAACAAAACACTCCCCCGCGAGTTAGTCCCCATCAGTTTTTAAATTCGCTAAGCGACACACACGTAAACCGTGTTTATAATATAAACGAACCAACCTCTATTTTACAATGAATACACTCAAATGCCACACGAATATAAACCTTATTCGCCAAGTTATTAAGGTGATGTTGCAGTTTTATAGTGACGCAGTTAAAACTGGTGTATCTAGAGGATATTAAAAGTTGCGCCCACCCTTCTAAGTAGAAGCTTTTTTCTTTTTTGTCCTTAATGTAAAAAGAAAACGCGAAAAGTTTCGGGACGCGGCGAGTTTAAATTTTTCCACCCCTAATGCGCTTATTACGAGTGGGGGGAGTTTGATGGTTCCCAAACTTTTCAAATATGTATCTAAGTACGTAGGAGTTTTTTATTGTGTGGCTCGAAAAGTTTTTACACTCATTGTCGTAAATGAAGCGAACGAAATAATGTAGGAGGATACTTAGTTGCGTGTTAAAACGCAAACTTTGTTATGATTTATGGTTAGACTCGCAGAGATACTGTAGATGAGTTCTTATGTTTTTAAGGCCTGCTTTAGTACGTGGGGCCAGCTGAACAATAGCCAGAGTGATAGCACGGCCTTAAAGAAAACGGCAGTGAAACAAGTCTCCTGTGATTTTCAACTTCGGTGGATCTATTGCTTTGTCTTTCTGCACCACCTAATAGTTGAGTATTAGGCAAGCCAAGACATTACGTCCACTAGTTCACTATGTGCAACGAAATCTAAGTAAATAAATAAAACAACCTCTTTTTAATTCCTTATTAACGCCATTCACGTTGAGAACCACAGTCAGAGTAGAAGAATCATCCACACTGCACGCCGCTCGGGTCGTCATTTACATTTTTATTTTATTTACAGCTGGCAATCGCGACGCACAGATAATTTCGTTTCTCTAACGCGGATAAAATAAATTGGAAAGTTACAATAAGGATTTGCCGTACAAGCGGAGTTAAGTAGACAATCAGGAAGGATTTTAAATTCATTATTAGGTATCTCTGCTAAAGGAGACGAGCCATTTGAAATATTTATGAAGAAATAAGAATGGTGCTTTTTTGTGCTGTAACTTCAGGTAGGTACTTCACGAGGGTAGATCTGATTGAGCATTTAAAAGGGCCAAGATGAAGATAGATGCTGCAATTCCTAAAGAATATACCTCTACAATATAAATGTATACTTGGGTGTCTTCAAGGCCTGAGTGAATAGGTTAGGTAGTTATGGGACGACGTATGATCCATCGTAGACCGCATCATCGGTTACCACCAAGCGAGATAGTGGTCAAACGTCGACCCATCTAACATAAAAAAGGCTTAGGCAACTGAACATTTAGCTAGATATTCATCTAGGGTAATTGGGATGACGACAGGGTATGAAAATTAAAAATCTAATTAGTCCGTAAGTTAGGTACTTAAAAAATATTAGACATGTATTTTTTTATTTTGTCGTATAATAAAACAATACTTAGATAAAACGAATCAAAGTTTAGGAGTGGGGCTAAAACGTCATTTCTTTCGTATAAAATGTACATAAAAGTGACGCCACACGACATTTCAAATCAATATATCGTGGAAAGTATTCGTTTCTGAAAGAAAATAAAAAATACGTGTGTAATGATTTAAAATAATCTACCAGATGGACATTAAAATAAGAATTAGTCGTCTACCCTATTCACCCATAGGTACCCAACTGTTGTATTTTTGCCAGAAAAAGGATATGCCAATGAATAGGTACATACCTACCACAACGATCGCCAATAAGTTCATATTCTATTAATAGATACCCTAACCACACCTTTAAGAAAAATCCCTTAAATTTTTATAATCGTATATTTAGGTACTTCTCGGTATTTTAAAAGTACTCAATTTAAATTTATTTGTAAATAAAACCGTGGAACGCTCCAAGTTGATGTAACCCACAAACACGTACAAGATAAAAATGCTCCCCTCTCGAACTGGTGTCGTTTTCATTAGTATTTTATTTTTCCACATTTCCCGCGCTCACTCGCCGCCATCTTTTATTTATGTCGGACTTTTTTTAAGCTTTTTAGAGATCGAGTTCAAATGGGGTTTTCTTCAGGGGCGATTTAAACACATAGTGCAGGTAGGATACCTACGAATTATAGTAGTTAGCCATACCTATAAGTACACACTACATTCATTCGTAAAAAAAAAATTCTATCATTACATCCGTCTCGAAACCAGAGGGAATCTAGATCTCTGGAATTACGGTGATATATTAATGATTACAGGGGGAATTAAAATCCATATTTATATACCATGATCTTTATTTATATACTAGATAACTCCGACCTCAAACATATTACAATAACATTCAACATAATATTATGTTTTAAACATAATTCGTATAACTATAGCGCGCTACGCCACATAGCATCTGGTGCTTGCTTAGTACATAGGTAATATAATCAATTATACCTAACTAAATAATCACTAAAATACATAAAAATCTTTGCTATATTTAAAGTTCCTTCGCTTTGTTGTATGCAGTGACTGGACACGTGGTAAGCTAAAATAATTTTAAATTTATTTACAATACATATTTTCTATCTGCTGAATACGTTTAGCAAAGATTACTTGATGAAGATTAGTGTCGAGTGCGACTCCATCTATTCGCGCTAGAGTCACACTCGAGGCCTGGACGTGTCCTGAGACCTTCGGCGTTCGGCGCTCTGTTTGGCCGGTTCCCCATGAACCAACCAATCAGAGCGCCGAATGCGGTTTCGTTTTGATTATTTTAGACGTAGAAAAAACTCGTACTAAGGCCTCAGTAGTCCCCAATTGCGATCATTAGACCAAGCATGGAGAAATTACTGCATACAATCAGAAGTTTCAAACACATTTAGTAGATAATTATAAACAAACATACTTTTATATACATAATGTAATAATGCGACAATAACTTAAAAAAACTATTAACTGTGCGTTAATACCTATTATAGAGATAAACCCATACTTTAGATCAAGATAAATAAACGTTTGATTTGACCGATACTGGAATACCACGTATCTATCCGTAGATTTGCTTACTAAAGTGAAATTGTTATCGATTTTGTACGGAATTTTCAAAAATGCAATGTCTATTAAAAAAAGCTACAGATAGGTAAGTGAAAAGGCCTTAAAGAGAACATTTAATTATCCCGATCTATAATTTTACCAATATTACCCAGCAATTTGTTGTCAAAAAACAGTGCATGTTTACCTACTATTTACAATATACATAATTATGTCGCAGTTCTAAATTGCTTTACAGTTAAGCTTGAAAAACTTATCTATCAAACTTCATTACTATGAATTTAAATAAAAATATACATCATACATGTACATCATTCTTTCTGTATAATCTTTACATATTACAATTGCATATTATTTGCAAACTTCGCGCAATCAACAACAATGGGAGCTAAAGTGTTTTTGCTCACCAAATGTTGCTCCAGATGTAGGAAGGGGTATTTTTGTCCAATCAGTCAATAACTGTCAAATATTGAACGTCCAATAGGGTGACATTAGCTAATTCCCTATTGGACAAAGAACGAGAGGTTCAAACTAGCGCTATTGGGTGAGCGAAAATACGGTAGGCCCCATTAATACCAATTCTTGTTCCAAACTAGTTTTAAGTGCATTTGAAGATCCCATAATTATTGTTCTTAAATTCTGTTGATTAATTACAGATACTAAGTTGATATCGAATTAATTCTTCATGTTGTGAACTTTTTAGTGTATTATTCGCCATTCATTTAGACTTTCATGACAATATGTTATAAACGTTATGGTAAACAAAAAACTGATTAAAGAACGAACCATTGTTCATATGCAACAGAGTTCAAAATTCGGAGCTGCCATCTGAATCAGATTCAATTAGGTATATATATATGTATATATATTTATAGTAGTAAACATACTTTTATAACTTTAACAATAACATCAACAGCCCATAAGTGGCCACTGCTGACCAAAGGCCTCTTCTCACAAGGAGAAGGTTTGAGCATTAATTACCACACTTGCTCAACGCGGATTGGCAATTTTAAACTTATAATTAGAAATTATAAGCCCAGGTTTCTTCACGATGTTTTCCTTCATCGTTTGTAAGTGGTGTCTAAATAATAGAAAGCACATATAACTCGGAAAATGTCACATTGGTACTTGCTGTTGATAGGTTTCGAGTCCGCACCCTCATACATGAGAAGCGGGTGTCTTAAACCTCTGGGCCACCACGACTCTAAGCAATCAATAAATAACTGTATTTGCTAAAGTGTATATTTGAGAGTAATAATTTCATGCTATGTGATCTCTTATAATTCTTAATGCTATTTAACCTTGAAAGTGAAAATAGATTGGAAATGTGGTCTTATGTAATATTATTGCTTTATTGACGTTCATAATTTACTAAGCAACTGCTAATAATATTTATGAATTCATCTAACTTTATAAAAGAGGTATTTTTAGCCTATTTGCAAACCATTTGTGGAATTAATAACGTAAATCATTTTAAAGGCGTTAAAATATGAATTTCAATCGAAAATATTACACAGAAAGCTGTTTAGTGTAAGTTTTAAAAGAATATAGAGAGCAAATTAAAAAGCATACATAAGTATCAGCTTTATAGGAATCAGGCGAGATGTTTTCTACGTATTGTGTTTGCTACATATTGTCCAATAGTGAACTCAACATTGATAACTTCTATAACAGTCCACGTGCAAATTTTGCCGGTGCTGTGAACATTACGCGTATTTTTCGATACATCATCTGTTAAATGATTCCCGAACTCCTCTTCAATACAAGCTAATTGAAATATAGAATTTACTTTTCCAAAGAATCGAAATACATATTTTCAGTTACTTTACTGGAAAGATCGCACTTAACAATAACTGCTATAATACCACATAAAATACTAGAAAGATAATTAACCAGTCTATACATTTTACTATAGTATGTACACATTTATTTTTACCCATATAACATACACATTTTGTGGGACAAGTAATATATTTGTGGTAATGTTAATTATGAGTTCATTGCGACCTTTAAATAGTGAATACAACAATAATATCTAAGTGCATTAAATACCTACAAACTCTTAATACTTAAATCATTCTCCTTTAACATCCTCGTCCATACAAAATTCTGTGTCTAACACGACCTAGAACAAGAGAAACAGTATTATGTAAAAATTGCAAAAAAAATGATATTGGCAAATTTCATAAGTTCTTTAGAAGTCAAGTTAGAAGTGTTCTTTAACTTCTAAATCCGACTTCGATTACGAAAAATCCATGAAATTTGTTCATACAAAACTGGTCCTTTAATATCGGAAATAAGGTCTATAATCGAGTGAGTGGATAGAAATCATCGGTGACCACTCGGGGATTTAAAGGTTAAAGATAAAAAAGACATGTACATAAATATAATGTCAAGACAATTTGAAGCATCTGCATTGATGAACCGAACTGATATTTTAATATTCATTGTTATTTTGTACTTACAGCTTGCATTCCGGCGACGGCTCGATCAGTCTCCTTCTCTGAATCATCGCCCCCTTCATCACCTTCCTCCACAACTTGCATCTGTGCTTCTTCACCTCCATCTAATTAAAAAAATAATAAGCAATTACCAGATTTTGTATTTATTAAAAAGTTTGCGCATGGAACTAGAACCTGACCATAAAAATCTTTCAATATTTTCATGTGATCTTTTTTTTTAAGACTAACGGCTGTATTCAAAGACATTTAATGATTACTTAAACTATTCCTTAGTAACGATTTGTTCCGAATACAATTGCTATGGACTGGGTTAAGTGGCCGATAAGTGACTGAGTTCGGCGGTAAATCGTGATTTATATTTGCTAAAGGGCTCAACATATTCAGACACTATTGTCTAACAAAATTATTACATTTTTTTGGACCAACTGATGCTCCAACAATCCTTCCATGATCAACGTATTCTAGTCGATACGAAAGCCCAAAACAAACAATGATCGCGTGAAACCATGTATTGATAATTATATAAACAGATAAATGAACCATCTCACCTTCAGAAGCAGCATGTATGAGTTGCAGCGTTCCATCGACGATCTGGCCAGATATAACACCAGAGAGGCCGGTGACGTTGATCTGCTGGCGCATCTTCTTGGCTTCCAGCTCCAGTTGCTGCTGTAAGTATAGATCCTTGTGGTGGACCTTGTTGTGGTACTTCAGGTGGTGGGCTTTGGTGAATTTCTTGTTGCAGGGACCGCAACTGTGTGGAGATATTCGTTATATGTCAATTTTATGACCATTTATTTATAAAAATAACTTTATTAACAACTTCTGAAGGAATAAGTAGTGGATTCTAGAAAGAATTGGTGCGCTCTAGGTGCTTACTAGAAAGTAAGTAAGCTAACTTTGTGAAACATATTACTTGCGTAATTATTGTCTCGTAGTGTCTTCAGACATAGTTAAGTTAAAGTTGGTTAAAGAACAAAACAGTCAATAATAATAACAACAGATTAGCATTAATGCCTTTCTTAATACAAAAGACACAATCAATTTCAACTTTATTTAAAAGTCCACAAAGTTTATTATTTCACTTTAAAAAACGTACAGCATAATATGTATGTATGTGTACTTACGAATATTTCTTCTCTCCAGTGTGAGTCAGCATATGATTGGCCAGTACATAGGAGTATGTGAACGATTTGCCGCAGAGAGAGCACTGGTATGGCCGAACTCCCATGTGTAACCTGTGTGTGAAATAGTATGATTAGTAAGTTGAAGTTTTGTCAATAAATGTGATAGAAATTTTAATGTGTTAAGGGTGTTTATTTTAATCATTATATAATCAATCAAGCGTGTGTTCACAGTTTCTTTACCTGTTTAAAAGTTAAAATCACTGAAATCTAACTGTTGTTGCACAATTATTTTAGGAATTTCAAGAAAGAATGAACTGACTTAAGAAACTAATTAGGTAATATTTTAGCACTATAAAAGGGGCAAACATATTATTTACTAAAATAAAATTGGAAATACCATACCTTTGTTTCGAGACCTTTATGAGAATCAGTGACATATTTACCTTATCTCATACATGGCAGCACCAAAATATTCAATTTGAGACCTTACATTACTAGCAATAAAATCCATATAGTCATACCTCTCATGTTTCTGCCTCGTGCCGTAGTCCCCGAACCGTCGGTCACAAATCCTGCACTTGTACGGCCGTTCCCCGGTGTGGCGTTGCATGTGACGCTTCAGTGCCTCGCGCATTACACACGCGAAGCCGCAGACGCTAGATAGTTATTTAAAAATGCACCTTTTACCGTTTGTCTCAAGGTTGATTATGTTGTTCCCCTTTCATGTTGCTCTCGGTCGGTCGTTTGCTGCTGATCTAGATTTCGGTTGACGTTGTTTCAATGACTTTTAAGTTAATAGTCAGGATGTGTGCTGGGATAGCCAGTGTGGTTCGATGTGTAGTTTAGGTAAAGTGACTTAAATATTGAAGAAAATGCTTTTTATCAATTCATTGCGAATAGTTCGCAAAATAAACCAAAAAAAGATCCAATTATCGTATTCTTAAAAACTTATTTTTAAATGCAAATCTTAAATTAAAATTAAGTTTGCTTAAAATTTGTCTAAATTGCCAAACAGATTTTGCCGCAAAGAAAGACAATGCTAATGTGGTATTTTCATTTTAACGCCAATCGCGTATTGGTAATGTTAATTTCGGTGGTATTTTCCTTCCGACTATTTGTTTTATCACGCGCTAAACTTAACATAATAATATCCTACTGCACGCGCCTTGAAATCAACATCTTCAAATGCAACTCAATATTTAATACACTCAGACCAAACCACGCCACCAAATGTCCACCTACGACCCAGCCCATCCCTAAATAAAAAGAAACTCGCCTCTCATGTTTCTGTCGACTGCCAAAGTCTCCGAAGCGTCGATCACAGACGCGACACTTGTATGGCCGCACGCCCGTGTGCCGCATCATGTGACGACGTAACTCCATGTTCAGAACGCACGCGTACCCGCATACACTGCGCATAGGTAACGATGGAATTTATATTTTTAATACTTAGTATGGTAAAAATGTACTGAACAGACCTTTTATACTATTTATTATATATTTTTAGTAGATAGATGAGAAATTTGTTAGTTTAAAACTTATGTTCTAATTAATTACCATGGTTTTTAAAATGTTGTGCTCTTGAAAATAGGGTTAACACTACAAACATTGTATTTTATGATGTAGTAGTGTGTCTATTTCTCAAATGACAAAGTTAATCATTAAAGAATACTAACAGACTTCTCAAAAGTATGTAGGGCAACACAGCGGTTTTGCAACGTTTATGTAAAGATAATATAAATTACACTACAGGTAATTCTCACTAAATCACAAATATTACAAAATCTAATGTTAATCGTATTTGTTTGAAATATGAAAAGTTTTGCGCAAGAGAATTTGCGCAACAAGTCTGTTCAGCATAAAATGTAACAGAATAATTAGGAATAAACTATTATTAAGTAAATTATAACATTAATAAGGACAAAGAAAACGGAACGAGAGGCAGGTGCGGGTGCGTTCTTTGGAGTATACTTAAACCTTATTCTTCTAATAATAAGGTAGATTATCGATTGAAACAACGTGTACCGAAACGACCGACAGAACATGGGCGCAGGTGTAATAATTATGCAATTTTGGTACTTATATCAATATAGCCAAGTTATAATTTATCATAGAGACCCCACCCGCACCCATATCTCATGGAAAACATGAAAGTTGAACAAATAAATTAAATAACTTACGAAATAAACATACTAACTAAGAACAAAATCATGACTATTCAAACTGTATTTTTTTTTTCAATGTTAACAATATAAGTTGAATCTATGTTGATTGCCCCACATTAGGATTTTCTCCTGTCTCGTGGGCGCGATAACAAACATACAATTTCACATACACATTTCCTTTCATTCATTTCCCAGAACAACAATTAGTGGATATCACAAGGAGTTGTTCAGTGCGGGAATCGATCCCGCGACACGGTGCACGACAGCCAGTTGCCCAGCCACCGCGCCAACGGTGCAGTCAAACTCCAGAGTTTATTGCTTATTCTTTTCTATATCAATCTTCACTTTACAAAGAATAATTTTTATTTCATTATGTTATATTGACTTCAAATACATTTTAATAATATAAAGTGACTCTGTATAAGTTATAACCCTTGATTACTTGATTTATAGTTCATAATATAAGATTTATTAACATACCTGCATACGAATGGCTTGATACCGAGATGTCGTCGAATGTGTGCTTGCAGCGACGCGTTAGACGTGAATGAAGCGCCGCAAGTCTCACATGTGTGACTGTAAAAATGCATTTAATTATTAAAAATCAATAAATAAAACATTTTTACGGACGTTTTTTACATCAACAAATATTTCTTAACTGTAGAATAAAATTGACATCTGACTGTTTTTACTATGAAATAATTGTCAAAAATATATAATACTAATATTCCTCAATGATCGGAGAATTAGTAAGAGTACTATTTTTATGTTATAAATCTCGTAAAAAATTATAAATGACGCGGTCAACGTCGTGTTGTGAACACTCGTTCTGTCGCACAATGCAGCTCATGAGTATAAGCCCTAACATGACTTAGAACTAGTCGAGATTCCTCGTCAAACTACTACGACTTACTTAAAAGAAAGTTATCGTTATAATAATACTTTTCTAACAGTTGACTGGTAGAGAACACGATATGGTATTAAATCTGCCGTATGCCATTACACATATTTCATTATAATGTATATTTAAATTAGCAAATTCTCATAAAAAATGCATTTAAGTAATAGGGGAAAGTCCCCTAACGCCGGACGGCACCTAACGCCGGACACTTGTACTATCTCGATAACTAATAACGCGAGCGATTCAATTTAGGTAGAAGTCTCCCAGTGGCAGACACCTAAGAGTTTTAGTTAAAATTGAATCGTTCGTGTTATTAGTTATCGAGATAATACAAGTGACTTCCCCCTAATTAATTTACTATGTATCACGAAAGTTATAATATAAACAATGCACTTACGTCTTTTCGTAAACGTATTTCTTCTTAGTCCGATACTTCTTCTTGGGTTTAGGATTGAGAATGTGTTCAGGAATAGGTTCCGAGAAAGCCAGGATCGTCTCCTTGAGCAGAACATCTTCACCGTCTTCCGTTTTGGGTTTAATCTGTTTTTGTTCTTGGTTCTTACGTGGCCTTCCACGCTTGCGGGGCTGAGGTTGCTAGAAGGAATTTAAAGAACATAATTAGTAAAAAATACGTTAATGATAATAGTTGAAATTAGTTTGGCCACCAGCCCTTTTCTTAGTCCTTTTTGGCAACTAGCTACTGCGCAATATTGCGCTAAACGATTTTCGTACGGAACAACTCTTTGTGTGATTTGCAAATACCATTAAGGATTTTGTTATTTAACACCAATTCAGTTCCTTTTATGTAATAGGACAAAGAGAGAATAACTTACTATCTCTTTGCTTTCTGGTTCCGATTCAGGCTCTTCCTCAGCTGCCGGTTCAAAGTCTGGGTCATCATCTGCACTTCCAAATTCTAAGAGAAAAAAAAACAATCATTCCTTTAAAACTGCATATTACTTTTATTGATAAATAATGGTTAGATTCCATTACCTATAACTATAGAATTATTCACTAGAAATAGACACACATTTAGTATGGAGTTTAATACGTCAGGATTGACTAGTTCATGCAATTTGATGAATAATGATTTGTGATTTGAGAATCAAAATCAGTGTAACAGTAATAAAAATAAAGCTGATATGAAAAACTAAAATCAATTAGCCACACAGTGCGAAATGATGTGAAATGTAAGCAAGATGTTTTATAAAGTGAGTGAATGATCAAAAAGAAGGTTTAAACACAATATTTTTTGAATAGCTAAGACATTCAGATTCTTTCAAAACGTATAATATAATAGACTATTAAGTTACCATCTAACAAAAGTCATATCACCAGTCTTTCCAAAAAATACCACATCTAAACCTTTAAAAATTTTCTAATAATACCTTTTTACCCTTTGAATGTAACAAAAAAGGTTTCTAAAGAAAACATAACATAAAACAAAACAGATATTACCAATAGGAAATTGATGGGGCTCACCATCTTGCCCAAATGCATCATCCTCAGGGTCCACTGGCTCCTGCTTCAGGTCCAAAGATCCGGTTGCCAGGAGTGTGGTCAATGATTCTTGTTCCTTTTCTTGATTTTTCGGCTTCTTGCGTTGGTAGGGTGATAGTTCTGTAAAAAGGATATGTTTTAAGGAGTTTATTGTTTCTTCTTAGTGTTTATTATGCCTTTACAGATAAAATATTGTTGAGTTAAAAGTGAGTTTTATGTAAATTAAGAAATAATTTGACAGAATGTTTTATAGATTTTAAATTCTACATTGATTGCAGAGTATCTTTTATAGAATGTTTATAAATCTTTATAATAACATAGGTGTCTACATCATTTTGTTATGAAATAAAAACCATAACAAACCTATGATACCTGTGCTGTGTGTGCCAAGAAGCATAATAATTGATAGCCACTGGTTTAGTTTACATTTTAAAAAGTACACATGTTTTATTCAAGCAATTTATCATCAACTCATTTTCTATGTGTAATTTAACCCGTTGATATCCATCCCCTAAATTTGGTCATACAAAAGTATTCTCTAAACATTAGAAATAAGGTCTATAATGTAATGTAATATTAGTGGAAAGCGGTCACCGGTGACCGCTTGGGGATTTATACATAATTAATTACATAAATATTTATAGCTTAAATATAAATTAATATTATATATTTAAAAAAAATAAAAATTGATTCATTATCTGTGGCAAGTTTACATTAAACATTATCATAGCAATGTTCTAATATTTTTTTATGACACTATTTTGTAATCACTTCTTATATTAGTTGGCAATAGAGGTTTTATTTAATTAATGTTGTCTAACGAGGGTGACAGAGATATAAGCATTTTAAGTTTGTTCTCATCACAAAAAATTAAGTGATTTTTCAATATATTAGGTATGATTTTTGTGTTAAGATTCTGCAGATAGGTACTATTTTATCTCTGACCAATTTTAGGTAACACTTAGTATGTCAAATTGTATGTAAATCGAAAGTTCCCAAATCTTATGTTAAAATAAACAACACAGGTATTAAAATTATATTCAACTTACCGATCTGTCCCTGTTCATTAGGATATTTCCGGGGCCGGCCTCTCTTACGTGGTCCAGGGGCTTTAGTGACCACCGCACTACTCGGAGTCTTGACCAGGGTGCGGGTCCATTGTCCCGCAGGGTCATGTTCCACTGGCAGCTCATATTGTAACAGCAAACCATTCTCTTGCTTTATAGTTATTGTTTCTGTTTCTGTGGTACCTACTGAAACATGTTTATGGTTATTTAATATTTACTGATAACAAAAATTATGTTGACCTATAAAACTAGCTAGTTATGTCTGATTAAAAGGGTTTTCGTGGTAATATTATTTAGGTGGCAAGTCAGTCATTGTTTAATTCAGAATTATGTAAATTTTATAGCGTCTGTCATTCGCTGGAGGAATGTTTTGGCGGGAACGTGGCGGAGGTCACTTATTATAATAGAATAGCTATAAATACTAACCTTTGGATGAAGCCGCTCCCGACACCACTTGGGAGCTCTTCTTGAACTCCTCCAAACATTCCTTTAGAGTATCGTTTGAAGAAAGGCATTGTTGTTTGAATTGATAAGCAAAAGTCAGCCGATCGACGCAATGCAAGCATATTAGCGTGGGCAAACTATCATTTTTGGACACCTAAAATAAAAAATACCACATGAGTATTTTAATTACTTGCGAATTAAATGATAACAAACAATATTTTGAACTTCTGGGATGTCAGTAAAAAATCCGAATTTTGCTACAAATAAACCAATATAGCAACATTATTGTAGTAAAAAATCAAATAGGGTGGCCATCGCAACCATTTTGATGTGGTAATTTTTACATACCTCCACGCCGCAGCAGTAGGTGTACTTGTCGCCAAGTTGTTCATTGTTTTCGTCCCAATCAAAGAGGGAAACCATATCCCCCGATTCTAAACACACTCGACATGTTAATTGCCAATCCATTTTGTAGCAGAATGACTCGAATAGCTCCGAGTTTAACTAAAAACTCAACAAAATGCAAGGTTTTTTCAAACCGGAAGTTTGGACATTTGACAGTAATGCCAACATCAAGATAAAATATTTCTGTATTGACGCGACAATGGTTCACATCTATCTGCGTCTATGACTAATTTCTTTTTTATTATTATTATGCGTACTAACCAATTTAATTAACATATAAAATTATAACATATTTTATGTATTTACAAAAATATGTCATTTTTAATTTTATTGAATAGTAATTAATACTAGCTAGAGGAATACACCCAAAAAGTGACACTACCAACATTCTAAAAAGAAGATTCTGCCCCTTCCCCTTTTATGAAACGTCAAATGAAATCAGTGCAAAATACAACAATAATAAACACGATGAAATTAAATCGAAACGTATTGAACGTGTAATAAATCAAGCCAAAATGGAATTATTTAGATCAGAATCGTTTTACATATTCGTTAGAAATGAATCAAGTTTGTGGTGGAACAGGACAACCGGGGCATTTTCAGTGCGATCAGGTGAATATCGTAAATCTTTAAATTTTAAGAAACTGCAATGATACATGACCTAATTTTGCTTAAAAAAATAATAAAAACCAATCATCTTCAAGATACATAGTTAAAATTCTTATCAAAGAAGTGTTACGCTGAATAAATTAGTGATGAAATATGATTCATAAATTCTGATTGAAACCCTTTGTTTTAGCGTGGGATATGTCTGATATTGAGGATATCGAGTGTCTGGGGATCACAGATGGTATTTTGGGCAAGGTGGAACACTCTAATATATACGAACCTCGTCTGATGATAATAAAAGAGAGTGCTCCTGTAGGTACAATATACTTCCATCACTCAATATATAAAATTAAATCAGTATGTTTTCTGAACATGGGGCCTGTGAATCAGGAGATAGAGTTGACTCCTTGCACTAAACATGGATCTATGAACGCTATATCGAGTTCCAATAAGTCTTTAAATAAGAAGATGGGAGCGAGGCTGTTTGAGAACTCAGCGTTTTTGAATAAAACTGTTGGAGCTGTGAAAAATGTCAGTAACACCATCAAGACTACTACGCAACAGGCTGCTACACAAGTATGTACAACAAACACATTGCACTTTATATTTGATTAGATTAGACCAATAATGAATAAAAGGACACAAATCTCATATTAAAGTTTTAAATTATCTTTTGTCAAGAGTTCAAAAAGCAATGTAATACTAAAAGTAAAAAAACAGTAATTAATTTAAATAAAAAAATATTTATTTTACAATTAAAAATCAATTTAATTCCTACATGATTGGTATTAAAATGTATTTAAAATTATTTTTATTTGTGAAATAATTCCACAAGTAATAAGTAATGTGCATGGCTATAGTGAATGCTAGATTATTTCATAATAGGAAAGAACTGGAAATAAATAAACATAATCCCAATTGCATTTATTTATTAGACTGATGTTTTACAGTATTTTCAGGAAAACAAACCATTTAGTTACAAAGTAATGTTTAACTTTGTTTTCAATAAATTCCAGGAAAATCAGTTCATAAGCAACTATATTATGTATTGTTAATCATATTAATTTATAGTAAATGTAACTAATTGCTTATATTTATTGTTAAAAACCTATTTCTCAAAGTTAGTTCAACTTATTCTTGTCAGTTATTGTAACTTTTATCTTAAATTATAATAATTTGTTTCAAAATTACTGGTTAGATGCTGACCTACTACTCTTTTTTGTTTATATTATTTTTTCTTCTTAAAATATTAGGAAAAATATATTATGTCCAACTAGTGGATCCTTATTTTGTTGTACTTTGTTTCGCTTTAGAATATTTTCTGCGCATATTTGTTTTCTTTCTTATATTTTTCCTAACAATAAGAATCCCAACAAAAAAGAATTACCGAAATTGGTTCAACTGTTCTCGAGATTTGCAATTAGAAACACATTTAGCTATTAATTTTACTATAGTAAAGATAATTATAATATTCCATTTATTGCTTAGTCATACAAAAATTAAATTTATATTTACAGTACACATGCCACACGATATACCTACATACCATATTCGTAAGGTGTTGTTAGTAACCAACTACTATATAAATAAAAATCATTTCGTATTTTTACAGCAGTTTGGTTGATTGCCAATTAAATTCCCTAACAAATTGCAATACATTTAACCTTGCCCTATTTAAATGTTATGTTCAAATAGAAAAAGCACCAAAAAGGCTTGAAATGTCTATTTAAACTGGTCAAACCTTTTTCACAGTATTTAGCAAAAATCCAGCTAGATACCAAGGCTTCATACTAGCCATAATATTATGTTCAATTGCCAAATTGAATGAAAGACCTTGCCCATTTTACTGAATTGGGATGATGATGACAGGGTATGAAAATTAAAAATCTAATTAGTCCGTAAATTAGGTAATTAAAAAATATTAGACACGTATTTTTTTTATTTTGTCGTATAATAAAACAATACTTTTATAAAGCAAATTAAAGTTTAGGAGTGGAGGCTAAAACGTCATTTATACGTATAAAATGTACATAGAAGTGACGTCACGCGACATTTCAAATCAATATATCGTCGAAAGTATTCATTTCTGTAAGAAAATGAAAAATACTTGTGTAATGATTTAAAATAATCTACGAGACGGACATTAACTCGTCGAGTACCGGTTTTGTAGACACAATTATAGAACAATAGGTTGCGGTCACCGGTGAACGCTTGGTGTTTGACAGTTTAAAATAAAAATTAGGCGTCTACCCTATTCTAATTTTATACTCATTACTTATTATGGTATAAAACTGAGTTTGTTTGTTTGAACGCGCTAATCTCAGGAACTATTTTCTGGTCCTATTTGAAAAATTCTTTTTGTGTTGGATAGTTAATTTTTCAAGAAAGGCTATAAAAGGCTGTAAAACATCACGCTACGATCAGGAGCCGAACAGAGGCCTTAGTACAACTTTGTTTTACGTTTAAACTAATCGAAACGAGTACGCATTCGGCGCTCTGATTGGTTCTTTCATTGGAGCCAGCCAATCATAGCGCCGAACGTGGTCTCGCTTCGATTACTTTAAACGTAAAATAAACTCGAAACCACGTGGAAGTAGCGTAGTAGTAATTATTAATACATATTTCTTAAGAAACGTAAGTCATGCTGTCACACGCGGCTGAATTTGATTGATTGATGAGAAGTACGTACTGGGACTCTTATTGTTTGTTTAAACATTGTATATCGATCTTTGGCTAAATATAGCTAAAAGGGCGTGTATTTGCAAGTACGCCTCTAAAGAGCCTTTTGGAAAATACAGACTATGCTAGAATAGTATAGTAGCACATAGCATCGAACAAAATAGTTTTTTTTTTTCTGTCCCTATGCAATATGCTTAGATCTTTAAAACTACACAACGAATTGTACGATATGGTTTTTTAATTAATACAATGATTTATAACTATGTCAGTTACATTCATAATATAGTCTTAAAAGAAACACTAATAAACGCACAAAGCCGGGGCGGGTCGCTAGTTACTCAGCAGATTGAGCCGCGGAGGACTTAACGGGTTGCCGGGGCTCTGCTTCGAAGTGCAAGAGTAGGAACGGGTAGGTTTTCAGTCAGTGAGAGTCTGACAACCCAAAAAGAAGTTTCAAGATTTAGTTATATAGACACTGCGAGCATCTATAAGCCATATACAGTGGAACCTGGTTAAGTGAGACATCAAGGGACCTGCAATGTCGTTTAACTTATAGAGGTATTCTACTGACCCAGTGTCTCAGATATACAGGTATAAATAAATATCTGTCTCATTTACAGAGGGTTCCATTAATAGAGGTGGACTTGGAATTACGTGTGGAATTTGTGGGTAGAATAAGAATGAGTAAACAAACAATGTTATCTCAGTTACAGAGGTTTATACATATAAAATTTACTCGCTGTCTCAGTTATAGAGGTAACTATGATGATAAATTGAAAGAACAAATCCCAGATATAGAGGTTTACCTCGTCCCATTGACAGAGGTAATTCAGTGCCAAAGTGTTGGGACCTCAGCATGAGTTCCAGTTATGGAGGTTTCTCACTTATCTAGGTCCCACTTAACCAAGTTTCACTGTAGTTATTAGCAACTTTTATAAACCAATTTAAAGTTGATTTATGTTAGCCCGGTCCAGGTCCAAGCTGCTGTGGTGTTAAAGAAACGCACAAAACATACGGATCTAATAAAAGGGTACAAATGTTTTCTTTGAAGTTACTATTGTCAATTAGTTCGTTATTCTATGTAGTTCTCGTCTCTCGTCATTGTTGCAGGCGAAATCCTACCTTATTTCTTAGAGTATAAGACGTATCTATATAGTTAAGTCACGTTGGAACCAAGTACATAACTAATTATAAATAGTTTTAGTTAATTGTTGCTACCCAGAGTAGTTCTTCAGAGGACTTAGTACGAGTTTTTTTACGCATCGGCGCTCTGATTGGCCAGCTCCCAATGAACCAACCAATCATAGTGCCGAACCCGTATTCTTTTCGATTACTTTAAACGCAAGCAAACGAAACTTAAGCCCAGATAGACCCTTAGTTATTTTTACCTTGTCCATTACTAGCCTAGCTGTTTAAAACAGGAGTAATCTGGTAGTCTACTTAGTTTGACTAGAAAACTGTAAGTTATCCTTAAAAAGTGTTCGACATGGTAGCTTAACTAGTTTAAACATAATACTCACGATTTGTGGGCCCCTGGTATAGCTCGAAACCAGTTGAGTTACTTTATTTAACAATCACACGCTGTAGAATAAGTAAATTAATAAAGTATATCTTGATATGACGTTTTAAAACTATCGTAAACATTTTTGACATAGGTAAAACAATCAGTAAAGAAGCAACGAGACCCGAAGCTAGCGGAGCGCTTCGAGAAACGTCTGACGGATGAACTGCTCAAGATATTCGACGACTCGGAGAGTTTCTACTACTCTCGAACTCTGGACTTGACGAACAGTCTCCAAAGACAGTATGAGATTGAGAAGATCCTGGAATCCGAAGCTGGTACTGGGAAACCAGTTGTGGACATCACGAAGTGGTGGAAACATGTCGACGATAGATTCTTCTGGAACAAACATATGATGAAGGATATCATTGCTCTTGGGGTGAGTTGGAAACTAGTGGTTATTTAGGGGTTTTAGACCTTTTAAACCTTGGCATAAAGTTGCATTCTCAATGTTAAACTGGCAGATTTTAAGACCTTTATTACTGTGTCATAAGAGTAATAACAGTTAGTTATATTAACAAAATGTCAAACATTCTAGACTGACTTGAATCATCAATAGTCTCACTGTGTATCATCAATGTAGTCGTATGTTCAGCCACTTTCAAAACAAATAGGTAACACCGTAATCTCGCCCAACAGAGTCCAGATTGCGACCAATGGATTCTACCAATCATCCAAGGCTACGTCCACCTGTCCCAGATAGCGGTAGAGCCAGCAGACATTAACCCTTTGAACACAGAGTCTTTGTCTAACGCCAATACTTGTGATGAAACCTTCACACTGGGGCTCATTTCACGGCGGTCGAGGTACCAGGCTGGAACACGGTAAGTGAATCAGAAAATCTTAATCGATATGGTTCTATGATTAGATGTATGAATGTGGTGGAAGGTAAAGACATAAAGATGTAAAGATTAAAAAAAGATATAATGTCTAAGTATAGATTATCTTTTAAAGTATAAATTCATATTGTAGCTAAAGCATCACATTGTATTTGTTTTCTGTTTTGTATGATAATAATAATAAAAATCATTTATTTAAAATAAAGAAGTACACGTTACACAATCATGACACTGATCTAGAATTCATGAAGACATTTGTCATTTAGTATATAATGATGTTCAATGACCCCCGTGCTAGGAAAACCTGTGTTACAGGGGTCATCCTACCGTCCGTTTTATTGATAAGTACATAACTATGAAAGGTGTATTATGACATAAAAATAAAAATAAAAAAAATAAAAAAATTGAGAATAGTATTAACAAAGGTAAGGTAAGATAAATAAACAACGTCTAGACTGAATAAGCAACTGTTGGTACAAGCAAAATCAGAATACTGATAGAAAGGAATTCTGCAATCCTTGAATAATGTGAGTGAATACCTATGTGAGTGTATATGTGATTGAGTGTGTATGTGTGAGTGAGTGTGTGTATGTACGTGAGTGTGTGAGTGAGTGTGTGTGCGGCGTTAAGGGTTGAGTAACTGTTCAGTAGCGTCATAGTTCAGGGTGAGCAGATACTCTTTCACCTTGGACTTGCACTGAAAACTGCTTAAGCGGTGCACATTTAAGATGTTGTGGACTTTGTTGTAGATTAAAGCACCTAGGTAACGGCTCTGTCGGCGCGCAAAGGTGGTGTTTGTTGGAACTCGGGAACAGACTGGTTTGGGTTTTCTCTTAATGATTGCAGGGCTTTGGTTACTGTTTGGTAGGATGGTTTTGTGTGTACGTAGAATGATACGGATTGCAAACAACTACCGGACAGTGTGCATCTTAAAATCGGAATATAGTTGTTGGGTCGGATATGATGGAAATAAACTTAAAAACTGATGAGCGAATTTTAATACTGATCAAAAATAGGTATTTATTTATTTGTATATACTTTATTGTACACCACATTAACACATAGGACAAATAGTACAATGCAGGTAATTCTTATTAAAGTCTTAATATGACAAGTTGTCATCCAAGAGATACCCTCTTCAGAGTTGATTCATGAGCCAACCCAATTTACTAAGAAAATGTAGTGCATGTAAAACAAATCAAGAGATTAACATCAATGTGAAAAATTGCGTTACAGAATTAATAGCATTATAATAAATCCTTGATTCACCGCCCAGTGAGTCATTACATATCCGTATCACTTATCAGAATAAAATATGATGATGCAAAGTAAACAGCGCAAGCTCTCGATAGTGTGATAGTATGTAATGGATCCCATCCACCTGACATCACTGTCACTTCCCATAATGGGCTTGACGTTTGATTGACATTATCAGGAAATTAAGGTAACTTCGCCTGTTCGCGTCCACTCTACTAATCTATAATCTTCGCGTCCGTAACATGGACGCGAACAGGTGAATTTACCCTACTGGTAATCGTGGTGTGGTCTAAAACACTTAGGTATATGCATAATTATATATTTATTCATTCATAATTATGTGTGTACCTACCTAGATACCGTAATTAGGTCAACCACGAGGAAAATATTATTCGAAAAGAGATTTTTTTTCCGACTTTTCCTGAGTGTTATAGTATCATGTTACTGTTGCGACATATGTGAAATGACAGTTCAAACAAAACAACGGATGACGTCACAAAAATCCTACATCGCACATGCAAAGTTTACAAGCGAATAAACATGGATAGAAAATCCCAACGAATAACTGTTGGGCAGAAAGCCCGCCAGACACGATCACCTCGCCTGGTCGGGGGATCCTCCTTTTCTGAACTTAGGGAACTATACTCATTGTTCCCTAAATTACAATTGTTATTTTATAAACTTGTCTATTATGGTTATCCTTAGTTATGAGATACCAAATTGTATTTTTTTTATTTAATGAAATATTTCAGACAAACTAACGAACTAGTCTCAAAATGTGACTATCAATCACAATAATAGTTCTAAAACTATTCTTGTGCTTTACATGTTAGAAAAATACCTTTCAGCTTATATAAATTAAAACATATCTGGATTAAATTCCCTTATTTTTCCAGGTACAACCGTCGAGGTATAGAGCCGGGCGGTAAGGTGGCTAACTACGTGGAGACTGAACAGATCGTCTCCATCATATGTTCAGACAGCATACACAGGGCATCATTCGTGCAGGTAAACTCGTTCTATAGGACCTACATATATCCTAAAGATGCGACCAGGGCGCTTACTCTTAAAACTAATCTCAATGTCAATTTTATTGAAATCCAATAAAATCTCAATAATTATCCAATGTTAACACAATACGACCCCAATCCTAACTATTGATATAGAAATCAGAGTATGGAATATGAAGTCTTTATATTCATTTAGTTCAATCAATATCTACGCAATACGGATGCAATGAAACTAGTACGAAATTTCACAATATCAATGGATCGGACATCGAATGGAGATACAGGCAGCACCGTTTTTTTTTTTTGTATAAATTATTAGCCTGAAGACGTTTCCTTCTGAATAAAGGTCTCTTAGGACAATGGATAGCCCTCCACATCATATATCAGTTCCTACATCTCGCACATGTTTTATCATAACTGTCGGCTACTGCTATCTTCAAGAAGGTAATAGTGCAAAATATCGACAAAAATCACTTAGAAATGACGCGTATAACACATTTGGGTGTGGCAATCGGGAGATGGCATAGGAATTCTCTATAGAATCTGAAATCAACCGTATGGCTAACCTAATAAGGTTTAATCTAGTCTAACACTAACATTGCACTATAGTAATACAACCTCCATAAGACTATGATACCTACATTTATAATTGTTTCACTAATTAATTACTAAAACTGATTACGTAATTACATTTTACACTTGTAATTATCGTGTAGTAATATTACAATGCAAGAATTACTTTAGTATAACCGACTATTATACTTAACCTCGTTTTGTACCGTTATTTACAAAGTTTACGCTCTGCTGGGTCTGTGGTCACTGGCTGGTTGTACGTTTTGTTTTTATTTTCGCATTTTGTAACTGTGGTCTATGTTATGATATTGCGATGTTGGATAAGTTGGGTTTGTAGTGATGTAGTAAACATTAACTTTTCAATCCCCGAAGAAGAGGTAGAAAGAGATATATGCAATGTAACCCTTCTTTTCCCCAGTTATGCTGAAGACTTATTAAGAATTAAATATTTCCAAACTTCGCGTTATTATAAAGGAATTTTCAAAAAATTCTTCATTAACACTTTACCGGAACCGGGAATCAAACCCGTAGTTACACTGGTGACTACTCGACCAACGAAGAGGCAAATATAACAATCTACTACAATATTAAAGTGTGTTTATTACAGGTTCGTGGTTCCGTGCCAATATTCTGGAGTCAACCGGAATACAAGTTCAGACCTCCGCCTCGCCTCGATCGAAGTAAGATTTCCACTATTACAAGCTCAGTAGAAAATAATAATTTATTTGCATAGAATGTAGGTACATAATATAAGGTCCTAAAAAGATATATATTTTTTTAGGACCTTACTTATCTTTTAATGTACCAGGCTACCATCTGGCATGCAAACATTTTTTCAGTAGCTCACTAATTGATTTTGAAGTCTTTTTTGATGGGATAAGTCGGTGAACGAGCAGACGGATCACCTGATAATAAGCAATCGGTGTCGCTCATGGACACTTGAAACACCAGAGGCGTTACAAGTCACCGGCCTTTTGAGGCTTAGGATTTGAGGATTATTGGGAATTCGGGGATTGGGGCGATTGAGGAGGGAGTTATTGGGCCTCCGGTAACCTCACTCAATACGTATGCGTTGTTTCACGTCGGTTTTCTGTGAGGCCGTGGTATCACTCCGATCGAGCCGGCCCATTCGTGCCGAAGCGTGGCTCTGCCACACCTAAAAAAATCACTCTCTCTTGTTGTCTTTCTCTATTGTTTATAATATCAGCCACAAGACGTCTATAGGCCTAACATAGGCTAAACATAGGCCTCCCCAGGCAGGTAGAAAGCGACTTGTATTTAGTCCATACACAGCTGCCCTATAAATTCGTTATTAATATTTTCAGCTGAAGACGAATCCCACGCCGCCTTCAAGAAGCATTTTGCAGAAGAACTGACAACGTACAAAAATGTATGTATAGTGAATCTAGTGGAACAACAAGGCAGGGAGCGCATTATATGGGAGGCGTACGGCAACCATGTACTTCGGTATAATAGTCCAGACGTTATCTATGCCACTTTTGACTTCCACGAGTATTGGTAAGTGGATTTGGACTTTATTGTGAAGAGTGTAAGGTCGCATGTATTCTATAATGTATCGTGTCACCAGAAGGGAACACTAAATAAAAGAAAGAAAACCTTATTTCCAGAAAAATAGACTAAATATCAAATGTTAAAAATACCTATCGTTTGCATAAGTCCATGTATCCAAATTTGTCCCATGTCGCAGTCGAAAATTTTAATCTCAGCACATTAAAAATCTGATCATTATTACCTACGCCTTATAGTCCAATCTTCATAAAAATCTTCTTTATAATAATTCCAGCCGCGGCATGCACTATGAAAACGTAAGTATCCTAATCAACGCACTGGCTGACGTCATCGGGGAGATGCGATTCTGTTGGCGCGACGACCGCGGTCTCATCTGTACGCAGAACGGAGTGTTCAGGGTCAACTGCATCGACTGTCTCGATAGGACTAATGTTGTACAGGTATGTGGGTTAGTTCAATTAAAATGAGATATTATCACACAACTAAAAACTAATAAATAAAAAAAACGCACGCACGACACATACAAACAACATGCGCGCACGTAGTACGTACGTGCGCACGCAGAAACACTCATTGTCGTACGCGTCGTTTTTTTAAACAAATCTTGAATACAAGATTTGATTAAAAAGACAGCATCTTTGGGTTAAATGTATAAAAGCATAATCTGTACAGATTCAAAATCGTTCGTCATAGAGTTCACAATTGATTGACATTCATCATCATTTGCAAACCTTTCTATATCTATCTTTCTTTTACACTAGCTACTTTTCGCGCGGTTTCACCCGTTCTGCTCGGCGCCTACTAATCGTAGCATGATGTTTTATAGCTAGCCTTCCTCGATAAATGGGCTATCCAACACAAAAATATTTTTTCAAGTTGGACCTGTTCAAGTCCCTGTTAAGCTTTATATAATAGTATAAGATTAATCCTTCTCTCTCAACAGACAGCGATAGCAAAATACGTGCTAGAGCTGCAACTATGTCGGCTCGGACTGGGCACCCCGGGCTGTGGACTCCCTCCCTCGCTGCGACAGGCGTTCCTCACTATGTGGGCCGACAATGGAGACGTTATCTCTAGGCAGTATGCTGGGACTAAAGCGCTGAAGGTAACTAGACTAGTGTGGATATTTTTAAGGGCTATATGTTGAAAGAAGCCTATCGAGGCTTCGTCTAAGGTAACAGGTAAAAGGTAGGATAGTCTTGCAACCCATTAAGATCTTAATTTTTAGTCATGAAGGACCGATCCGAGATACTAGACATTGTTCTAGTAATTTATAGTCTACCTCGTTAATGTTATGTCGAAAACAGTACAATTCTGACATGCTGACTGCAAGGTTGACGCGGTGGCTAGGCAACCGGATGCCGAGCAACGCATAGCGGATTCGATTCCCGCACGGAGCAACACTTTGTGTAATCCACAAATTGTTGTTTCAGGTCTGGGTGTGATGTGTATGTGAACTTGTATGTTTGTAAACACACACACACGACACAGGAGGAAATCCTAATGTGCGGCAATGTTGTTTTTTTAATTCGGCAACTGTTGAACCAAATGATTGTATTTTTATAATAGAAAAAAAAAACATATTTTTAGTTTCATTTTATAGGTTTCTAACAAGAGTGAACGTGGTTTTCCGCAAGTACTAGTAGAGACGTTCTCTATTATTTAAATAACTTCACATTCAAAGAAAATATTCTCATCAATAGTTTCTCCACAGGGTGATTACACAAGAACAGGCGAAAGAAAATTCACAGGACTAATGAAGGACGGTGTTGCATCAGCTAACAGGTAAGATCACCTAAACAAAACATCTTATCATCTTTATAGTATTTGGTACAAAACCACAAACAATATTTTAAAATTTTCTAGATTCATCATCCGCCATTTTAACGACGCCATAACTCAATGCGCCATAGACATTCTGCTCGGACAGGAAGTCAATATGGCGACGGTTGTCAACTTTGACAGTTTTTGGCGGGATGTCAAAACTGCTTCGTTGATGTTGGTCGAAAATTTGGACAGTGAGAGGCCAAAGTTAGAAATGATGCCGTCTTACTTCGGACATGCGTTGACTAGTGAGCTTTTGGGGGCGGAAATCGCGTACGGGATGGGGAGGTCAGTCTATTCGAGTGTTGAGTCGGGAATGTACTTACAAAATGTTAGTAAAAACTCTAGGAATTTAAAAAAAAATTAAGATGATAGTTATCGCTTAGTAAATGACAGTTCAGATGCTAACGCCCAAATACTGAAAGGCTACTCAATTTTCAGTTGTAACTAATAACCTAAATATATCGCGCGCCTCTCGTACACACGGGTAAACGCGCGTTCTCGTACACACGGGTAAATATTTTAATAGAAAAGCGAATCAACTGTTCTGTTCAATGAAATAAAGAACGGGTTGCAAACTTGAAAATATACGTCACAGAAAAAATATCCAATCGGTGCGCGTTTCTCGTACACCCGTGTGTACAATTGCGCGATGTGCACTCAACTCTCTTGTACACCCGTGTGTACGAGAAACACGCAAGAAGATATCATGCCGTCTCTGTCATTTTTTGTCTTTGTCAAAGTACTTGTAGTGACACAACTATACTTACTGACTGACTAAAAACTAAGTGGCGTCAGAGTATTAAAACAAGAGTTTTACTCATCTTTATACCTGTCAAAAGTTAGCTTATGTTGTAAATTGTCTATTGATCAATAGACATTAGTTTTGATTGAACTCCTTAGCGATAAATAAGCAACAATCTTCATTAATAATATAAACTTTCTATAAACAATATTTAATTTTTTTTCTATTTACTTTCTAATGTTTATAGTTTATGGTTATTTAACATTTTTATAACATACATTGTTTAATCGGATTCGTTTTGTTAGTATATTCCCTGTCTTAAAACTAACAAAACTTAGTTTCGCTTATTTGACCTCCTCTCCTATTAAGCTACAAAAAGCTGTAGACGCTTACCTACAACTGTCCGCCATTTAATTTCTTTCTAAAAGCATACACCTAACAATAATGTTTGCGTGAATTATGATTTAATCACGCGGATGTTAAGGTCGAGTTTGGCTTAGCAATATTCTTTTCTCTATCGCACAGCTGTCGTACGTAAGTAAAAGACAGAGATAAAAGTGATCTATAACTCTATTAAAGCTTAATTTGTGGCCATCTTTGTAGGCTTTCAATTGTCACGCATCAATTTTTCTATCATGATTACTTGTGTGATAGCACCATTTTTAGGTATGAAGAATTTTCTTTAAATTGTGATTTCAGTTTCCTAATTCAGTTTCCTTGATCACGATAGACGATTATATGTTGATTTACATTTATAATCGACATTTAATTAAAAAAAAACATTGTTACTTGTGTCAGATATTTATGATCATCCCCTTTTCTGGTTAGAACTCCATTAACAAACGATTTATCGACAATTCATCATTGCTTCAAAAAGCTTTCATTACATTCAAATAATTGTCCAACCAGTATCAAAGTAGTACTTAGCAACCATCAATAAATCCTACTAATATTATAAATGCGAATGTTTGTTCGTTTGTTTGTTTGTTACTCCTTCACGTCATTAACGGCTGAAAGGTATGCGATAAAATTTGGAACCAATATATTTTTTATGGCATAAACGAGCAGAAGGATCACCTGATGGTAAGCAATCGGCGTCGCCCATGGACACCTGGAACACCGTTACAAGTGCGTCACCAGCTTTTTGGGAATTAGGAGTTTGAGGATCGTTGGGGATTCGGGGATTGGGGAGATTGGGGAAGGGGAGGGTAAATGGTCTAGAATTACACGTAGGTCACTTTTTATCCCGCCGGAATGCGGGCGAAACCGCTGACAGAAGCTAGTATTTACTGAATCTATCTGTGATCTTGTTTCAGATAAGTTAACATTTTTTTCAATAAATATTTACAATTTTTTTTCTTCTCTAATAATATCTTCTTATTTATTTCATTGTGGGTTCCAAAACAGTTACTCATGTCTATGGAATGCGCCAGACTTCAATGTTCCGGTGTGTTCATGGTTGTATGTAATATAGATTCTGGCTTACAGGAGTTGCAGTGGTTTTGGGAGGTTGTGGCGGGGTGTAGCAATAAAAAAATGTACGAGTAAGCTATAATATTGTTTCAGATACTACCTCTCAACCTTCAAAGACGCACTACGCCAGGTGGCTATCGACGTGATGACGGGCGAGTCCCGCAGTATACCGGATCAGCTGATTGTTCCCGAGTGTGGAAAATGCACTTCTGTTAAGGTTCTAATGTTCAATGTGCGTGCATGCCCGGCTTGAGTCAGTTTTCTTTATTTTTAATTTAGTAGAGGCTTTTGCTCGCAACTTTTCAATTCAGCGATTTTTTTTTTTGCTTTTGAACCTAATTTCCGAATACCAAGGCCATTCAATTTGAAGTCGCGCTTAAGTATATTTCTGTCACTACAATTTTTTTTTTTAAATGACAGAGTTGGCGCGATATTTAAGTAAAACTTTAAATTGAGAAGCCTTTCAGTATTCAGCCGTAAATAACCTTGATGGCAGTTTCTTACGATCTGTAGTTGTATTGATCAGAAGAGAGCGGGTTCAAAAGGATTACCCACTAGTCCTATTTTAGATTGTATATCCATGATACTGATGTTTTCTGCTGCCATTTATTAACTATATGTTTTAGCGATAGAGCATTATGTTAGTGCTAGTGCCTGTATATTATTATCTATTAATTAATACACTTACCTATCATTTACTTAACCATTATATTAGCTTACCGCAATCAAATTGATAAACATCAAAAATTTGTATGAAGTTAGCGTGATTAGTACTGGCACATCTTAGCATGTCAAGCTTTTGACTTGCTTATTGAATTTTCGACCTTATTTCAAAACTATAAAGTTGAAAATGTATTGTTTATAGGATCAGACGGAGCCAGATACGGCAGCGATGGCGCAACATGTTAAATCCCTAATAGATGACTGCAAAAAGTTACTGGTTGATACGGAACCGGTACTCGGTTCCTGGGGACTTATTGATGCTGATCCTAAGTAAGAAAATACACAATCACATTACTTGAAATATAAGATAAGTTAGTCTCGGAAGTTGTAACATGAATCTACTTCACAATTACACATTAATTCTTCTTATTAAGGTAACTTGTCATATGACTTAAATAATTGCGTATGGGCCCCATGTTTACTTGAAATTAGTCGAGTAACCTTGGACCTTGTTGAAGGACGTCTATATTCAGTAGTAGACGTCTTAAACTGTCAAACACCAAGCGGTCACCGGTGACCGCAACCTATTGTTCTATAATTGTGTCTACAAAACCGGTACTCGACGAGTTAAAGCTGATATGATGGTGATAAACTGATTAATTCTTTATTTCTCAGTACGGGTGACCCTCAAGAGACGGAGATGGACAGCGTGCTAGTACTGACGAGCTCTGCGTACTACGTGGCGGACTACGACGAGACGTCCGACAGGTTACTCGGCGTGCAACGGGTCGCGCTCGCTGACGTCACGCTCATTGAACTCGGACCCTTCGATGCTAACTGTACCACGGTAAGTTGGTTGTGGAGCAAATCTATTAGGGGACCCGGTGCTCCTTACAGTTGCTGAGGCCACAGAAGTGCTTTTAGTGAGGTAAAAATATTACACTCCCTAATCTTTCTCCCAATAAAGCTAGGCGCCTTTTGAAGGATTCCCCTCGTCGTAAAAAGGTAGTGAATTGGTACATTATAGTCTATTCGTCCAATAGAGAATATCCAATATGGATACCAAAACTATTAATAGCTTTTTCCACCTAAAACACCAAAAGTGTCCCCTCAGTTGTTCAGCGTGGGTCGCAAGAACACCCCGGAGCCAGTGTACTGCGTCCGCATCCACTACTCGTGTGGCGGGGAGGCGGGCTACTTCCACATGTTCCGCTCCACTACGCTCCGGTTCTTCAACAACATGGCCGTCGTCATCAATACCAGGGACGAGATGATTGGTACGTATGCAAGACAGTTTTTTAACCGAGCCTGCTATCTTTTATTGATTTTCAACCTTATCTTTTTTTGATAAAGTTGAAAATCTGAAAATTTACCACCAAACGATTTTATAATCGACTTCAAAAAACGAAGGAGGTTCTCAATTTGAGCTGTTTGTATACTATGTATGTTTGTTTGTATGTTTGTGCGCGATGGACTGCACCGATTTTGACGTTGTTTTCAGAAAAGTGTTTCTTACACTTAGAAGAAAATATTTTTTTTTTATGGAATAGGAGGCAAACGATAGTTTATTACGCATAATAGTAAACCAACTTTAAAAAAAGGGAATTGAAGTCAGTTTTTAAACATAGTTTATAAGAGAATAATTGATAAAAATAACTAATGTTTAGCACATTAAACCTAATTTTTTTTTTTATATATTTGTATGTAATAAAAATAATACTAATAATGCCATTTGGAATCGACTGTACAGTTTAGAATAAGTAACTAAAACATGGACAGGTATACCATAAACAATTTATTAATTTTTTTTTCGACAAATTCTGTATCTTTTCCATTAGCGATTTCATGCTTAATAAATGAATCAATTCAGATAATATGTTTTTGTGTAATGGGAAGTTTGATTGATATTGGAATTGTGAACGATGATATTTAAATAAGTAAGACACTGTTTTGGGTACGAAAACGATATTTCTATTTATAGAATCTCTGCACTCAATTTGCGAGTCGTTGATGGTGGCGCGAGACGTTGCCAAGCTCCCTCCCATCCCGTTCCACGACGGAGTCAAGCTGGAAAAGAAGAAATCTAAAGTAAGTTATTTACAACCTAATTTTCGGAGTACATAATTCCATCAACGATTGTGGATTTAGGCCTATTATTTTTAGCGTGAAATATAGAATTATTTTTAAGTTTTACTTTGAGACCTATTTGAGTTTTAATATGCAATAGGTTTACTTATTATTGTTGCATGGGTATGTCTTATAAAGACGGCATTTCATGAAACTATCCCAAACTGTTAAATAATTTTTTCAATACATTTTCGACCCTATAAGAATAAGGTATTCGTATTATTACCCTACCGTACCTTAATTAGCTGTCCCTATGTTAAAGGTTGTTTAAATAAAAAATCTCTTACCCAGGTCCACCCAGGCCAGTCGGGCAACGCTCGGTCCTCGATATACCTGGACCTATCCCGTCTGCCCACCCTCACGAGAAACGTAAGCGAAACGCAACTCGTCGCCGACATCCGAAGTGTTGGTAAGTTACAAAACCTTATTTGTGTGTGGCTTCTAGCTTAGTTTGGCTGTGTGGTGATGGTAGGAGATTTAACAGAGACCAAGCACCGCGTTCTGTAATAAACTTAAACCTCTTAAACCTCTCGCCAAGTGTATAGATTTGACAAATTTTTGGACTCCGATCGACCGGAGTACTATCATAGCAGAGATTTCAAGACTAATTTCTTGACTACCTGGTACGTGGCAGACGACTGCTCTAACTCTTAACTTCACCGACGACAAGAGCACTACGGCATCATAGTTTTCTAAAATCTAAACTTATTTTCTTTATAATCTGTGGTCCATCTTTTGGCAAAGGAGTCCTAATACTAGTCTGACGAATTTTAATTTGTCAGGCGGCCGCCAGCCGTTAATCGGTTACAATACTAGGATATCACAGATTTCAAACATCAGTTTTTGACGCCATGGTACATGCAGATGGCTGCCAACTCTCCCGTCGGCAACAACTGGAGTACTAGGACATCATAGGCTAGCAACAGCCCTTTAGGCCTTGCTTTAGGCCCGATAGGGTTACTTTTTTTAAGGGGGGAAAATCATCGAATGACCGCTCCCGCCTAGGAGACGGGAGAGAGTGTCAGACTCTTACTGACTAAAAACCACCCCGATCCTTCTCCTGCACGTCGAGCCGGAGCCCCGGTCGCCCGTTAGGTTCTCCGCGACAATGATAGGGTTACTATGTCTCTAATTTGATTCGTATTTGTCTCCCGGCGGGCAGCCGAGGCCGGGCGCGCGGTGCCGCTCCACATGCACCGCAACGTGGTGGCCACCGCCAGCGACCGCTCGCACGCGGGGACACACACTGTTCGTTGCCACTACTCAGTTATTCGTGTAGTGGTAGTGGGTACACTTGTATTTTGAGTAGGTTTTGATGTTGATTAAACTAGTGTTACATAGAGTTGTTTAAACGTACTGTTGCTTCGAAATATATAGATTGAGTATATCGTATCGTATTTTTAAGAAAAGAACTTTGACTTATGAGTAAAAGTCTTTCGATTGATTTTTCGATTTGTACTTAGTTCCTTATCTGCCGAAACTAACCACAAGGTCGGAGTTTCTAGTTGGTTATTCTTCTGCAGAAATTACAATATACTTTTTACCCCCTTTTAACATTTTTATTTAACAATTCCAGGATCAAAAGCCCTGACCAACATGACGGAACAATTTAGTAAGCTGAACAAACTGAGTCACTCGTTAAACGCGCGCGCACGACCTAGTTTACAATTAAAATTCGACCAGAGCGCCTCTCGCACTAAGAAGATATTCACCCTAGGACAGAACAAGGACAATAAGAAAAAAGGCAGCCTCTCTGACGGCATGAGCTCTGATTACTCCTCCGACGACGAAAACAGAACAAATATCTTCGAACCAACTCTCGACAACTTCGAAAACACCCAACATTACATTGGCAAGCCAGCACAGAAGACCGAAGCAGAAAACGACTGCGAACTGATACAAAATCCCCTGTACTCTTCAAAAATCGAACCGCATGATACACAAGACTTTATTCCTTCAGAAATAGTTACTAATGTTGAAAAACAAGCGAGTAAAACGCCAAGTAATGTTAACAAAATCAATCCGTTTAACATAGAGGCGTCGAAGACTCCGGAGATTCAGGTGGACGGGGCTTTTGCGAAGCCTGCTCCTCCGAGTTCCCTGATGTTGGCACAGAAACTGTCCCACAGTTCCAATGAGTTGAATTTCGATGATAGTCAGTCGGAGGGGGTGAACTTCCACGTTCGTTCGAACTCTCAGCATGAGATCACGTTGAATATTGCGCAGTCGCACAGTGAGTCCGCCATCAAACAGTTCAAGAACATCGCCAGCCCTGTCGGTAGCAGCACTAAGGACATGGTACTCTCGCCCTTGACGAAGTTGGCTAAGGGCGTCCAGAATCTGGGGGCTAATTTGGATCCGAGGAAGATTAAGGTAAGTGTTTTATTAATTAAAACTAAAAATGTCCCATACTATTTATTTTATGATTTTTCCATCGCGGAAACGATGGTTAAAAAAGTAATCAAAATTCTACCTTAGTACAGAAAAATATTTTGTTCTCTACTTATATCTTTGCAACAGGTTGACTATGGGCAGATTTTTCCAACGCCAGATAAATTTAAACTGAAGCACCTTTGAATATTTGACAATTCTTCCATACTATAAACTGTCAAATGTCAATTTTATTCTACAGTAAAAAATTAACGTATGGTTGAAAAATTTACCCTTAATGAATACTTGCGGCGAATTCTTTCCATACTATATCATAATAATATTCTAAAAATTCTTTATTTTGACCACCCAGGCCGCTCCAGCGGTAAAACAAGTAACAGAACAACAATACGAAGAACACAGGAAACTGCAGGAGAAATGGCGCGACTGCAACACTAGGCTAGTTGCACTCTAATGCTAGTGTTGCCAACTACAAACACAGTATTGCCAGGTGAAAAATCTAAACAGTATACAGATACACAATAATTTATTTATTATAATTTATTTCATGCACAATTTAATAATTTTAATAATGTAGACTTAGTCTGCGTGATTTAGTTTCATTTGTATTTACACCATACAGTATTTAGTCAACTAAATGAACGTAGTTTACGAATTAACGATACGAATAGTTTGCAGGGTTGAAACGTAATGTCCTTTAGGAGTTAGGAAGTGAATTTTAAGATCTAATATAATATAATCAGATTCTACAATGTATTGAGAGCAGCCAAACTTTCAAAACAAACTTAACATCTGGTGAAAATAAAAAAAGAACTGCTTATTCTGCGTTGATATCGAAATACTCTTCTCAGCCATAATGTTTGGTTTGATGATAATGTTTTTTTAATTACTTGGTAGTTACTAAACTGACTATTTCTAGCTAGTCTGCTACTGCTACTGTTAAAATTGTGTATTTCTAGTAAATTATACAAGTTTGGATGTTCTCTACCTTAAATAATTGTCTGAAAACCTTCCTAGAAAGTCTTCAAGCTAATTTAGCTATTGTCTGATCATACCATAACTTCAAATTTTGGTGTTAGCTAAAATCTTTATATGTTCAACTCTAAATGAACTCCTAAATTTAATAGTAACTAGAATCAAACGTTTCACGCGTCTTTGAAAGTTCCTGAAATAGCTCTTTAAATTGCAAAAAAAATAATAAAAATAACTCAAAAAGTAAGACATGCTAATAAAATATTACTACAATCTTCTACTTTTATAACAATTGACATTCCTTTTAAATATAATAACAAATAGTATTAAAATAAGGCCTCATTTAGTTTATTAGTAGCGTAAATATGTATAAAACATAGACTCGCCCTATAATGGCGAATCGGGGCTACCGTGTTTTACTCACTAGATGGCGCTGATCTAAAAAGAAATCAGTTTGTCTAATCACTATAGCTGTCAAAATTTGAATGTCTAATAGCGTGATACTAGCTAATTGGGTACTTGCCAACTAGTCAAATTCAATACTTTTTTCGAACTGTCAAACGACAATTCTCTTTGAATGTTGTACAACGTTGTGTATTGTGACGTCACGTTTTTTTAGCGTCAAATAGCATACCTATTTTGGTGGTCATAAAATCAATTAATGAATGTGTGATTATTTTTTAATATTTTATTACATTGAACAGATTATTACATTGATTAAGGAAAGTACCAAATTCTCTATGGGACTTAAAGACACTAGCGCCATCTGGTGGGCAAATGGTAGCCCCCATCAAGTGACGTATGTACCTTTACTTATTTCTACAAGTGTTTTAAGTGGCACTATAGTACATGTTAACTTATAGTATTGTTATTATTTATTACTTGTATCGTTAACAGTGTATAAGTGGATCAGTTCAGGTATAGCTTATTGAAGTTTTTAGAAAATGTCTCAGTAATAACATGACTGGTAGGCTGAATTCTATATTCTTACTGATAGAATAAAGCATGCAGTAGATGTCTTCCGTCTGAAATGGTTCAAAACTAAATTATGCACGGTGTGGTTGCTTCCATATTATTATAATATCGGATATCGGATCGTTGCCTTTCTGTCTCATTCATACACTGATAACCTTGAATATAATTGACAAATTGTACCAAAAAGTATAAACATAGTTTATGTAGTCGTATCTAAGAAATTACCACTCGATTCATAAATAATATATTATTAGGAAATTGCAGTATTATGTAAAATATTTAACAGTTAATAGATATTATTGTAAATTGTCAATCCAGTTATTTTGTATCTAAGCATGTTTTCATACTTCATTTTCTTCCTAATAACTATTATATATATTTTGCGCTGACTAGAGGGAGCGACCAAAGCTTATGGTCTTGGTATGAACTCATTACCGTTATACATTAAACGAGAAAATTAGCTCATCTCGAACTGTAAACTTTTTTTAATACTAAAAGTATTACTTAGAAGAATTTTGACATAAATATTTACTTCTGAGAACATGCTTAGATTATTTAAATAAATTCTCCATGTATAAACTGCCCATATAATTAGTATAACTTCAGTAAAGGCTTGTATTAAACATAATGAAATAATTCACTATACATAATTATCAATAATTATGTTACATTAACTTATTATTGCACCGATTTATTAGAAAAATGTTATTATATTATATTAATATATTTCATCTAGTTGTTACGATGTTAAATAAGTATCGCATAGTATTTAGTTTAAAAATTTCGAGGAATTGTTGAATAACTACTTATTGATGTCCGAACTTAACCAATCTATATTTGTATTGAAATTTAAAGCTGTATTTCAATTGCACCTTTGAGGATAATACATTGTTCAATTATAGTATTAGACTAGAGGCCTTAGTACGACGTTTGTTTTACGTTTAATAGCTGGGTGTATTCAAGGCCCGAATGAATAGGTTGCTTATGGGACGACGTGCTCCATCGTAGGCCGCATCATCGCTTACACCAGGCGAGATAGTGGTCAAACGTCGGCCGTTCAAAATTAAAAAAAAATTAAGTACTTATTCGAAACGTGACCGCAGTCGGCTCTCTGATTTCTTGGTTCATTGGAACCGGCCAATCAGAGCGCCGAACGCGGTCTCGTTTCTATTACTTTAAACGTAGAACAAAGTCGTATTAAGCGCTCTGTATGTACATTATAATGTGCTCGTTTTCACCAACCACCTCTAAAATTACTCGTTATTTAAGATTTACTTAGTGAGGTAGCACCTAACTAAACTAACCACTTGCCTTTAGATGTTACTTAAGGGTTGACGAAAATCTTAGTATGGTTAAGTGTCACCTATATTAGCTTTTTTTTTAAGGGGGGAAAATCATCGAATGGCTGCTCCCGCCTGGGTGAGGCGGGAGGGAGTGTCAGACTCTTACTGATTAAAAACCACCCCGTTCCTTCTCCTGCACGTCGAGCCGGAGCCCCGGTTACCCGTTAGGTTCTCCGCGACTCCGAATCGGCATCGGCTCTATTGGGCCCCATTTGTGGTGGTCTGATGGCTCTTTGAGGCGCGCGCGGAACGCGACGCACCGTTCGCTCGGGTCTGTTTCTGGTCGGACAGGGAGCCTCCCATGCTCGCCGTCCGCAGGCCCGCACTTACGGTGGCCGGAGATCGTCACCTATATTAGCTTAGGGCTTCCTTAAAATTTAATAGAAGTATGGTGAAAACGAGTAGTGTAAAATTGCAAAAATATTATATCTTGTCTACATTTATAAATTCATTTTCATATAGCTATATATTCTATACAGACCAGTAATATTTCCTTATAAAATATTTACTTCGAAAATTCACTTCATATTCTTACTTAAAATTGTTATAATAAATTGAAAAGTGAGAATTTGTATTTTAGTAATTCCATTTAGTATGTAAAAATAAATGTTTAAAGTTTACACGTAGTTAATTTTAGTGTGTACGTCACAAATTATTGTTTTTCTTTTAGTTTAATTGTGTATTTCAGATGTAAAGCTTGGAAAATGAAAGAAATTGGGCTTCCTTTGAAACATGAACAAATAACATCAGATACGCATTAAAATTATACTAATCTGTTCGTGTGTCCACAACATCATTACCATTTCGTATGTAACCTCGCTTAATTAACGTTTAAACCAAAATAAATATACTCAAAATAATTATTAGGACGCCATACTTTGCCTCTGATCGTATTTAAGCAATAGGGTAAACGCTAAGCTGATACGAGGTGGGCGCCACTGTGAATTTAGAACTCATTCCGTGCATCAATTTATACGTCTTGCCTCACTATTTACCGAAACTTATATCGACACTTTCAAATACTTTATCTGTGGTAGGTCTTACACCTATGTGATCTAAAAGTCAGTGGCTCCTCCTGGCGGGCTTTAGTGGTATTAAGACTCCGTATCTGGTAAACAATGGATCTGCCGCGTAGCCGTGTGTTCTAAGGTAATTTGTGGACTTGTGCGAGTGTTAGCAGCGTAGCTCGTAGGATTTTATATTAGCTTTATACTCGACGTTGCGGACCGTCGCTTTTACATAATAATTATAATATAACAAACAGCGTTGGCTTCGAAACTTTTTGAAAATGTACTCAAATATTACATAGTTCTTTTTAAACAGTTTTATTTCTACCGTTGTTTACGCTGCGGTTTATAAAAATAAAATATTATAATCATAAATATTCTAATAGCACTGTCTGTTTACAAATGTAATTATAACGAAATATTTCGCTTTATTCGAAAGCTACATATTTTCCGGATTTTCTCACTTTTGTGAAGCTTAATGACTGATAGGAGGAAATAAATGAAGTTACGTAGAATACGTAGGCCGCTAATAGGGAATGGAATATTCTAGATTGTTGTTGACTTAGAACGAACGTTGCTTATAGAGTTCTATATTAGAAAACACGCGTGGTTATTATAATACCAATTTACTAGAAATTATTTATGTAACTGTCGATTATATTTCCAAATAAAATGAATGTACTGGACTATTAAACAGATAATGAAATTCGCTTCTTTAGACACTCATATAAATATATGTATATAAGCTTATGAGAAGCTAATGCCAAAAAATATAAACCTCAACTTTGTAAAAACATTTTTTACGTACACAATCTTGTGTTTTGCCATTGTCACTAGTACCTACTTGTATTTAGGGAGGCATGTACCCCTACATAACTTGCTTTTAGCGGCTTTGGTACAAAATAATCGACGGTTACTTGAAAAAAAAATGTTAGTCATTAAGCGCGCTACAAAACTGACTAATAATTACCGTTATACATCGATGTTAATATTTAGAACTGCTTAAAATGTATTTTGGTTTGAAATGTTATCATGGAATCGTTGATATTTTATTAATTTTATTATTTATTTTAATATTTTTAAATGGTACCGATTTCTCTGTATTGCCACCATCAAAAAATGTTCAGCGTCCAGTGTTATCTATTTGAAATAATGAAATGACGCTTTTATAAAATCCTACCAAAACGCGTACAAAACTGTTGTAATTACATATTTATTTAGGTCGTTATTTTTAAAACGTAGGTCAATTTGCTAGCCGTATGTCGACCTTTATGGTTTTGCCTTACCCTTAGCCAAGTCGACTTCATAAGAGCGCGTTAAGTTACAGGTCCATCAAAGGAATTTTTTCCAAAAATTGGGGTCCATTCTTGATCACATTACAAATCGATGGCAATAAAAATCCCTTCGCATTCAAAGTGCCCAGTTAGTTTTACGTTAACATGAGCGACATATTTATGAGGTTCAGTGCTCTGATTGGCCTGCTCCACGTTAAACAACCAATGAGAAGGCTAAATACTGTAACGTGTCGACAACGTTAACGTTAAACAAACGTACACTCTACAGTGATGTCAGACAGTCATCTTGGCTAAGACTGCAGACCGTCGTTTCACGGCTAAATACACCCGTATCTAATAAGTTACGGTATAAGTATGTAGTATGTTTGCTAGTACAAATTGTTTTAGCAATATTATTAATTAATATTATGAAGCGAATAATTTATTATACTTTTTGTTTAGGTATATTTGTTTATTAGCGTCAATCCGTTTAAAATGACTCAAACGTTTAGTTGAATCGAGTTGCTGTGTGTCTAAAAAGCTAGGACTGCTTTCATTCGTCTTTTGACTGTAAACAAATTGATATTTTTGAGACTAGTTCTTCAATTTGAATGAAGAGTTGTCGGGAAACCAGAAGTGATGCATTAGATTCTGTTTGCTACGCAAGTATTGCAACTGCTACGTTTACAAAATTACTTTTTACATTTACATACCACCAAACTAAGAAATGATTGTATGTCGATAAAACTATTTTTTTTAATCAGTTTTAAACAATACGATCAAAATGTAATGTTTTGTGTTTTGTCTGTGATTTATTTATGTAACAGATTGTTTTGGTTATTATTTATTTTTTGACCATGAATAAAGGATGCTTTTGACAAAAATCTTGTAATTTTATTTCTTAGAGTAAATTAATAAAAATAAGTTATAGCGTCTTGAAGGTAAAGAAATTGTTTTCGTCAGTGATGTTAGGAGCTCCATATAATAGGGTGGGTTTCAGCCTATTGCTACATATCAGACAGACATAATTTACGACTTAGTACCTACCGCTGAACCGCTTTCGAATAACTAAAAATTCTCCCGAGTTCACATTACCAACCCGGGAATAGAACCCGAGACCTCAGTGGTCCAACCTGTGGGACTATTTAAGCAGTGGAGTAGATTCAACGATGTGTGCTTTCTTTCGTCAAACAATTTCTCAGAGCACTCACTGTGCTCTGAGAAATTGTTTGACCTGATACCTGCCGCATTTTTTCGCCATCGATCCTCAGGAGAGCATATGCATCCCTATCTGGACGCTTCTCACGAAGCTTTCTGCCTCGCACAGCAAAACTGTGGAATGATCTGTCGTCGGAAGTATTTCCGAACCGATACGACCTTCAATTTACGATAAGAGCGTATTCCTTTTTAAAAGGCCGGCAACGCACCTGTGACCCTCTATACTTATTATACTCTTTGCCTGTGACTCCTCTGGTGTTGCCATGGGAGGCGGTGATCGCCGACTATCAGATGATCCGTCTTCTCGTTTGCTTCCTATTCCATAAAAAAAGAATGTTCGATTGAAAGAAAACCGCCCATTTCGTAAATATGAGTGTTTGTTTCACTTAAAACGTGATTTCAAAAAACACTATTTCACAATTATTTAACTATTTTATATTAGACACGAACAACGAACATAATAAAAATCAATTTAATAGTAATTATGGATAGTAATAATTAATTTGACCCATCACTACAAATAGTGATTTTTTTATTTTCTTAGTCTCCATTAATTCGTAGTTGACTATTTACAAATAGTATTATCTTTGGTTGTCTTTGGTATTATTACTGTCAAGTGTCAAACAGTCAAAAGTCATTTCTCAATTGTCAACTGTCATTGTCAATGAAATATTTTTAATTTTTTATACGAAAGAGCGTCGATGATGTTGTTACGTTTGTTGTTCAAGTTTTAAAGCCGCTCGTGTAATGCTCGCTAGTGTAATGTTTACGAAGGTTGTATTTTTTACACTTTTACTCACAAAATTCTTTGTATACATTTACCTTTGCTGTCATAGTGACTAATTCAAAGTCGAAACAATAATGCAAACACGCAAGAAATCCTGCACTGGAAGTTCGCGCCCATCTACCGGTGCAAGTGAACGAACGTATTCCTTGGAATTATGTAGGATCTGTTTAGACGATGGCGATAAACCAATATTTGGAGAAAACGACCTATCTCATGATATTGCCGAGTTTGGCCAGATCAAAATTGCAAAAGACGATAACCTACCACAGTCCATATGTGAACCTTGTTTGTCTTTGCTGAAATCAGCAATGCTGTTCAGACAGAATGCTAAACTATCGGAGGACATAATGAATAAACGTAAACATGAAATATTTAAATGTACTAAAAGAACAAGTTACACAGATAATGAATCTGAAGATTTTGAGAGAAAAAATGAAGAGGATATTTATATAAAAACAGAATATCTTGAGTTCGAGTATAGCTCAGATTCCAGTATAGATATTGGTAACTTTGAATGTAAAAGTGAAGTTTTCGATGAAGAAGATAGCATCAGTCGTAATCATACAATATCAGAGGAACACGAAAGTGAATTTGTCAGGGAGTATAACACAGACACAGATAATTGTGACGAATCTTTAGTTGAAATGAATGGAAAAGAAGCAGATAATGAAATGATAATGATTATTGTTTCTGACAAAGATAAACAAAAATTAAGAAAAGAAAACAAGATTGAAATAGACAGTGGTACTAAATCGCAGCAGAGTGCACACCTATCAGAGAAAGGAAATACAAATTTAAAAGAGTGTGAAGTTTGCCGTGAGCTGGTTTCTAAATTGAAATACGAAGATCATTTACAAGAACATCGGAAGAAGTATGTAGACACTTGTAACAAAAGACATGTTAAAGTTGAATGTAAAGATTGCGGTAAATGCGTTAGCAAGGCATATATGAAACTCCACATGAGAATACTTCATGGTACGCCCGAGGAACAAGCTGAGCGCCAAATTAAATGTGAATTATGTGGTCGCAGTTTTAACCGTAATTACTATGCTGACCATGTCAAAAGAGTGCATGGCATCAATAAAAATACAGATCAAGAAGAATCAAAATGTATTACATGTCCCGTGTGTGACAAAGAAATCAAAGAAAGTAAATATGAGGCACATGTAGCAGGGCATGGTGGGCGGCTTAAGCAGTTTATTTGTGATAAATGTGGGAAAGTATTTAAGCATCCCTCTGCTTTTAAAACTCATTGCCTTACTCATGGTAGTGAATTAAAATATAAATGTCAATTCTGCCCCTATAGGGGGTTACATCAGGCATTACTCAAAATTCATGTGAGGACACACACTGGAGACTACAATTACAAATGTACAGAATGTCCAGCTCGATTTATAACAAAGAGTAATTTGTCAAAACATCTACAAAGGCACAAAGCTCCAAATAGTTTTAAATGCGAAGTTTGCAGTAAATATTTCTACACAAAACGAGATCTTGAGAAACATGCTAAATGTGTACATTTGTCTTTGAAAACTCATGTATGTGACATTTGTGGCAAAGGGTTTGGACACAGAGACAATTTGTTGAGTCACCAATTAAAAATGCATAAAAGAGATAAGTCTGGTCGTAAAGGTCGCATGCCTTCCTATCTGAAAGTTGACTTACAGAATCTTGACCCATCATAAATTCGTAATTTGATATTTAAAGCTTTAATACATGTTGTATGGACTAAAGTTCATAGCATAATATAAACAAAACACATACGTCCCATAGAGTTAGAAGAAATAATGTATGGTTGGTAGCCATTCAATATGGCCTAAATTGGACTTCCCCAATGTGATATTCTTTGCAGTACAAATGACCTAGTTATTTCAAGTCAGCATGTCAGTCTGGTTTTAGATAATAAATATTATATTGAGCTGTTCAGCATTCTCTTGTTTCTTATTACTCTACGGCCTCTGCCTCGAATTTTACGGCGCGGGTGTGGCAGGATCTTATGCGTAAAATCAAATGGACCGGTTTTCGAAAACACGGCGCAGGGGCGAGTAAAGGGCGGTGTACTCTAATCAAGCAGTACCCGCAGCGCCGCCGTCGCCGCCCCGCTGCCTGCAAAATTCGAGGCAGAGGCTTAATAGGTGATGGTATGACCAATGACGTTTTAATATAGGTATTTGATTTGAACATTTTTACAGTTAGAATTTGAAATTATGTTTTACAATAAAATTATATTTCGGAGTTTGGAGTATTATTGCGACTTCGTACGTGCAATCCCGTTTTCTCCTGTTCCTGTAGAATTTTCAGGATGTTTTCTGTCGTAGGAACCTCCTGACAATAACAACCACAACAAAAAAAAAGATCAGCCAAAGCGGTCTAGCCGTTCTCAAGTTATGGCGTGACAACGGGGAACTGGTTTTATTTATATATAGGTATATAGATGATCAATATTAGAATGATGCTTTTTTGAATAGAGAGGCATTTCCCGCTATTTTTCCACCAATTAATAGGAAGTATAACCAAAAGTGCTTACCCTTAACCGGAGGAGGAGCATGCATGGAAAGACTGATAACCAGGTTGAGGAAACGAAAGATGTTTTGTACAGTAAGAATTGGCGTTCTATAGACTGCCAACCCCCATGGGCCAATGGGAGACAGGCGTAAGTTTATGACGTATTAAGGTGTTGCAGGGAGTTTGCAAGGATTACGATAGAAATCGATTGCTAAGTCAGAAACATCTCATTTCCATTCAGAATAGTCTAATATAGGGTTATCCCCTATACTTATTATACTCTTTGATAGGGTTTACCCAAAACCAAGGAGTTTTTAATTATAGTTCACCCAGCACGAGAAAAGCTTAGAGAATTCAATTTAAAACCAACGTAATTTATGGGGAAAAGTTATTTATATTAAAAATTTATTTGGTGAATAAAAAACTTAAATAACAACTATTACATAAATAAAATTAAAACTAAATATTACTAAATTAAATATATACTACTTATGATTAAAATTAATTATAGGAAAAATAAACTATTTATAAGGCATCGAGATTGTTATTCACTGATTTTAAAAATAAAAATAAGCTCTCTGGTTTTTACGGAAAGACCATAGATGTCGTATTTGACAAACATTATTTTGACAGTGACAGCTGATAGGCTATCAACAACAGCGACGCCGCTTGCGCTTGTATTGTTTTGTTTACATTCGCAAAATAAAAGTAATTTCGATAAGTTGAATGATTTTTATAGAATTACCAGTATTTTTTTTTATAAACGCAGCATATAATTAAAATTGTAAGTGGCAGTACAATGTTGACGTTATATTATTTAATGAAAAAATCCAAAAACAAAACGAAATTAAGACCCACCGAATATCTAAAAATTATCGACGAAAATAAGAATACACGATTACAATCAAGTGAGAATTTGTCAGAAAAATGTAGGGTATGTTTAAGAGAAGGTGTTGTACCGATATTTGGGACAGATGACACTGCATTTATACTAGAAACATTACTAGTCGTGGCGAATGTGGAAGTGAAAGAAAATGATGGAACTCCGAAGCTCCTATGTGACGTGTGCCATGAGTTTATTACAGGAGCTGCCTTATTTAGGAAAATAGCCAAAGACACTGAGCAATTCCTTCAACAGCCAGTTAAACAGGAGGTTGTTGATGAACAAGACCAATTTTTCGACCAAGACCATGACTCAATCCAAGGTAGCGTCCATGACTCTAAACCTGCAGAAGATTGGGATATTGAAGACAGCAGTAAAGTGAAAGCTGAAAAACAAATTAAAATTAAATATACACCAAAAGTAACATGTAATGTATGTCACAAAGTCATCAACAGGTCTTATTACAAAGAACACATGACAATGCATGACCCTGACCACAAGAAGTACATTTGTGATGTATGTGGGAAGTCATTTCGACTGAGATGTGCATACCACAACCACAGTTTGAGACATGGCAAAGAGTTTCCATATAAATGCCAGTTGTGTCCGTACCAGGGAAGATATTCAGAACTACTTAAAACTCATATGAGGACTCATACTGGTGACTATAGGTATATGTGTACAGAATGTCCAGCTAGGTTCTTGTTCAAGAGCAATTTAAACAGTCATGCATTGAAGCATAAAGAGCCTCAACTACAGTGTGATGCTTGTAAAAGAGCTTTTCACACAAAGTTGATGTTACAAAGGCACTATGAAGCGGATCACTTGGGCATTAAGAATCATGTTTGTAATATTTGTGGGAAGGCTTTTGGATACAGGAACGCTATGATGAAGCACCAAAGACATGTCCACAAGCGGGCTAAGCTCCTGTTTGGTAGAATGCCAGCTTATTTAGAAGCTCAGCATGGCAACTAGGATAAGCCATAATTTATTTATTTTTAATGTTAGTTTTACATATTCTGATCTCATATTATTTATTATGTAAGTAATTGATTTATTGAATTGATACATGAATTTTATCTAATCGAATATTAAATAACATAACATTTTTTATTTCTTACAATTATGTATCTACATATCTAATTTCTAGTTAGATAACTAATGATGTAGATGAAATTAATAAAGAGCAGAAAAAGATATTGTATTTGCCTTAGTATTCCATTCTCTCTATCTCAATCTGCCATTGGAATAAATACAGAGATGTCGTGACCTTGGATATGAATAATTAATCGCGACTACCAAGCAACCCAGGACGCCGGGTTTGATTCCTGGGTTGGATACCTACCTAGTTTCTATACGGAGCCTGAAATTATGCCCGGTTTATGGAAACTTTTCCTTTGTTACAAAGGAGTCATAACATAATTCGTAGAAAATTGGTGTTGTACTTATTGAATTTCAGGTCTGGTTTTAGATGAAAAAAAAAAGTGTCTAGTGGGAAGGTATCCGAAGTTGACGAAGTATAGCGTAACACCAGAGACTATAGACTTGCTCTTTATCAATGTGACGTTGACATTTCTATGATAACATTTTGTAAACAAATACAAAAATATACGAAATGTAAGTAAACAAAAAATAATCAATTTTCTAAAGTAGTGCGATGTCTGGCTCATATTTCATGCTGAAATTCTTGAAAAATATACGACTTAAGAAACATCGTCAGTTACTGCAGGAAAAAAATCCTTTTGATAGTCGTGATAATGATGTAAAAATGATCAGGACCGGTAATAAATGCAGAATATGTTTGAAAGATGGTATCAAACCAATTTTTTCATCAAATAGTAACTTCAATATTGCAGAAGCAATACGAACATTTGGGGGCATAGAAGTAAGTGAAAATGATGACTACCCAAAACATTTATGCACGACGTGCCATAATTTCCTTCAGAATGCTTTGGCTTTTCGGAAATCGGCTCAAGAAACTGATACACTGCTCAGACAAAACACAGTTCTAGATTCAGAAGAAGAATCAGATACAGTTAATGGTGATGCCGATGATATCTTTGAACCAGAAATACTTGAACAAAAACGTAACTCATACACCTGCAAGCTATGCAATCTTAATTTCAAATCCTTTGATGAATTATTAGCACATAAACAAACAAAAATTCACAAAAAAATTCGTATACAATGCCCTTTGTGCTTCCGATTATTGACTGCTCAGTTATATAAAAAACATTTAGCTAGGCACCAGTCAGCATCGCATCTAGTCTGTGATATCTGTGGCAAATTGTATCGTAAAGACAATTTAGTCAGGCATTTGCAGCTACACAGCTTTGAGCTGCCTTTTCAGTGCCAAGTTTGCCCATACAGGGGACGATTTATGGAGTCCCTAAAGATACATATGAGAACTCACACAGGTGACAAACCTTTTTCGTGTGATAAATGTGAATTAAGATTTTTAACTCGAAGCAATTTGAACAGACATCTATTAACTCATAAAAAAGAGAGGCCCTTTAAGTGCCCTGAATGTGGAAGAGGGTTTTACACTAAAAGAGATATGGATATCCATTTTAAGGCTGATCATGCTGGTCTTAAGGATTTTGGATGTACAATGTGTGGTAATAAGTATGGAACCAGAAAGGCTCTTATGCGACATGAGCTGAGAGTTCATAAGAGAGATAAAATGGCTAAGGGAAGAATGCCATTGTATTTGCAAGCTGAGTATCAGAAACCAGATGAAGTTGTGGAGTGAAAAATAAAAGTAAAACCTTAGTAGGTACTTATTTTACTGAACACCTATTTTACTTGTAGGTAGTTTGTTTCAGTAATATCAAATGGTAGATGAGTTGTAAGATGATACTTTTTGGTATGTACCTAGTTGGCTAGAAGGAGTTTAACCCATAAATCCCCAAGCGGTCACCGGTGACCGCTTTCCACTAATATTACATTACATTATAGACCTTATTTCTAATGTTTAGAGAATACTTTTGTATGACCAAATTTAGGGGATGGATATCAACGGGATAAAATAAAAAGTATTTAAGTAAAATGAAACCATGAAGTATTGCATCAATATTTAAATATTTATTTCAATAAGAAGTGTAAGTAATATCTGTAAGTTTTTTCATACTTTCAATAAATATTCAAATCAAATATTAAACCTGATTGGACTAGAATAGTTTATAGATCATTGGTTATAAATATTTGTCTTTAAACCTAGAGTTTACATAGACAACACTTAATACATTGGTAAATAAAATCACACACATTAAATATTATATAACTCTTTGGTGTAACTACTGAACAATGGAAGATTTCATAGTAACTATTTTAGTATAAATATCTAAATAAAGGCCACTTTATCACTTATGTTACATTTATCGGATGGACACAAATAATGGGCAAGGCTTTTATGGCATTCTTAAATTACAATGTTTCTTATTTTACAAAACTGACTTTTAAATTAACTCGTCGAGTACCGGTTTTGTAGACACAATTATAGAACAATAGGTTGCGGTCACCGGTGACCGCTTGGTGTTTGACAGTTTAAGAACAAGTTCATTGTAGTAGTTTTACATTATGTAGCTGTTTAAAAGTACATGTAAAGATTAATTATTTTAAGAAATATTGTAAGAGCTGTTACGTCTTATTTGTCAGAGGTGTCATTATGAATACAGTTAAATAGATGTGTAACAATACACCAGTAGAATAACTATAGTAGAAACAGATTACCTGCTTCTTAAAAATATAAAAGAACTGTAGTATTCTATGATTTTTGTATGTAAAACTGATTTGGCAAGAGTATGTTAATATTGACTAGAATTTAAAACCTTAAAATACTTATTATTAAAAAAATATTTTTTGATTACAATTAAATAGTGATCAGGTATAAATGTTTGTGTTCACAGTCTTGTAATATAAGTAACAAAATTGTAGATTTATAAGGTCACAAAATCTCTTCAAGAATAGAACACATTCAAAATGAGAGTTAAATGTGTTTGTGCCTCACACTGTATTTCCAAATCTTGTGCCACATCTAAAATACGTATTTTCAATCAGAATAACTTCATAAAAATCCTTAACAAGAATATATCCTGTAGATAAAATTGTAATAACAGTATATTTCAATAATTAATAAACATTAAAAGTTTGAAACCGTAAAATTTGCATTTTTTCTCAATTCATGTCTAAATTTAAAATTAATTTTCAAACTAGTGAAATAACGGGACTGAAGCAATATACTGGCTAAAGCACAACACAAAAGCTTTATAAGTATATTAAAAATATTTAAAAAATTAGCCAGTTACCATATTTAGGCTTACACTCAATATTATAAAACTATATTGCAAGGCTTTGTCTAGAATTGCCTTTAAATAATGGCCTGCAATAGCACAAAATACTTATTACTATACTCCTTGCTTTTCATTCATATTTAAAAAAAAATGTGTATGTTTTTCAATTTGGCATTACATCTTAGAAAACGCAAATGCCTGCAAATTCCATAAACAATTTATGAGTCATGAATTTGAACGGATATGAAATTCAAACAGAATGATGTCATAACATTAATATTATGCTAATAGAGTCATATCTTTGGTCTTATTTTAATCTTATCATGTAAGATGAATCTCTGGCTTTATCACTTAATTATTATTTGTCACTGAAGGCAGTATAATTAGGATAACAGTTGGTAAATAGGGATTATTTCTTAAAATACTCATTGTATAAAATTTTTTGAACAATACTGGCCTAAAAATAGTGCTAAAGGCACTGTGTCCCTTGTGGAAGGTACAAATTGTTACAATATTGTACTTTTTAATCATATGAGGGTCCTCGACAAAGGGAGACTATAAACATAGATGCAAACACAAACTCTAGCATCTGAATGCAAAGCATTAGAGTACACCAGATGTACTCTATTCTCAGGACCACAACTTGGAAGATGAGGAGGTACATTACACCCATTATAGATGGCACTGTCAGTAGCACTGAGAATATTACTGGTAGATCTGGAAAAATATTAATTTAATCATTAATTTTTATGCATATCACCCTGATATAATCGGTTTTATAATTGATAAAAAAAATTAATGATTTCATTTTAATGTGCAATTTATTTTAAATAATAAGATTTATTCATAATTCAAGAGTTATACCCATTAACCCACTTACCTTTCTCACTAAGACTTCCTTTACGCCCCAGTATAAGGCGGGCCGCTTCAATAATGAATAAGCCAACAAGTACTCCATAATCTCGACCTATTTTCGTTGGATCTTTGTCTACTTCATATTTCTCAATAATTAATACCGACTTCAGAATAAGAGTACCCAGTTCACATGTCGCAAATAGACCGAAATAAAATGAATTTATGTATAGCAGAATTTCATATGCTAAACTCGAATTAACCATTTTTTAAGTACGTATATTTGTTTCTTTCAGTATAGTTATTTGACTAATTAATAGAAACAAAGGAACTATCATAGGCACACACGATATTGTTATTTAGAAAATCATTCTACATAAAACTATCCCGAAAAAGAAAATTATTTAAAAATAGAACTCTCAGCTCGGGAGGGGACAAAATAAAAATGACAATGACATAAGTTCGTGATTGGAGGATGACAATTGATAGTATAGAACAGTATTGCTAGGATACAAAAAAAGACACAACATTGATATCAGCTGGTTTAATCAGACTTCGATAAGATGATTAAAGTATTAGATAATATTTCGATTAAAGCAGCTGTTTTTCATCAAATCCTCATTACCAATACAATTTTGCATTAACTAATCTTATCCTGAGTACGTCGATGACATAGTTCTTCAATTACTTAATAAATGGCAATACTAACTAAAGTAAGTGCAACGGCCGACGCCAACGGGGGTGGTTGTGTTGCACGTGTTTTTGCTTTATACTGTAATGCAGTTGTTATGAATAAAAAACTTTAAATTAGGTTTAATAAGTGTCGGATTTATAATAACTGACTAACGTTACAGCGCCAGCAGTTTATGTTTTGGTGAGTGTTAAAAATTTAATGTGATGTGACCACGCGCTCAGTAGGGCACGTTTTAAATTGTCTTTTTGGATTGTAACGGGATGGTATCTTTTTATTTAGTTTCTAAGTTTGTTGTGTAGTTAACTGTGACGGGAGAGTAGTATATTTTGTAACTCAAGTGATAAGTGGACGTGTCATAGCGGTAGAATGCCGTATTTTCTTATCTCATGAATGTGGTCTAAGATACCAGTGTTTTTTTTATGAAAACGTTTAACCTTTTTCGCGCTGTAAGTTGACGATTGTAGAAGTACAGCTTTAGAAAGTTTGCTTCGCACTTTCTTATGTATTTTTATTGATTTAATTACAAGTGCCTTAGGTAAGGTTATCTCTAAGTTTACATATTGCTTAGTAGGTTCCTACTAAAATTCTAAATTTAAATTATTGTGAGATAAATAAAATTTATATCCAGGCTATGTGTATGAATTAAAAAAAATCATGTGGTATAAAATTATTTTGCATAAAACATGAGTAATTTATAAAATTATCAAATATAATATAGGTATTACCAATAATTTATAATTAGCTAATGATACATTTAGCAAATTAATGATGCTCACTCGCTGATCAACGTTAGCATATAAATGAGTTGATTATAATTATAAACAATTTTTATTTGCTACAAACAATGATAGAAAAATTATTCAATGTCTATAACATGATCTTTTTTTCATTTCTGGACACAAATTCCTTTCAAACTCATGAAGAATGTACCTTTGCCACCTATGCCATTAAGTAGCAAAATATAAAAAAAGTTAACTTTTTTAATGCACTGACACAGATCAGTTGAACATAGTGCCTATTATATTTCACACAAAGAGTTAATAAGTGATTCATGTACATTATAATGCTTTTCTTTGTACCTGCACATCATACACCATATTTGTCATATAAAACTTACCTACTTATTCACATGTTTTGTTTCATCATCATCATCATCATCAACAGCCTATAAATGCCCACTGCTGAGCAAAGCCTCTTCTCACACGGAGAAGGTTAGAGCATTAATCACCACGCTTGCTCAATGCGGGTTGGCGATTTCAAACTTATAATTAGAATGTTTTGTTTACCTGAACTAAACTAAACGAATTACTTTGTTTTACAATAAACTCCACTTCTGCTAGCTCTTTGGTAAATTAACTTACATAGTTTATTTCATTAACCTGAAACTAATACTGAAAACGTTAGGAAAAGATTGTTTACTATTATGGTTTTCCTAATTTATCTTATTAACTTGTTTTATTGTATTGCTACTACAGTGCGGTTTCACCTGCTGCTTGCCTCCTCTGATTATAGCATGATGTTTTATAGCCTTCCTTGATAAATGCTCTATGAAACACAAAAATAATTATAAAAACCGAAGCAGTAGGTCCTAAGGTACACACATTCAAACAAACAAACTCTTGACATTTAAATAATGATATAAAATATAACTTTATCCTTATGAAAAATGTAATTGAAAACTAACTATTATTGGTATTGGGCCCTATTAATACAATAGTTTCCTATATGTTCTTCTGGTAGATTAATTTAACACAAAACTAAATACTTTGGACAATATATTAATAATGTCATGTAGACTACTATATTAAACAGGTACAACTTATAGCATAAATGGTAAAAATAGGTCAAAAAGTGTTATGAAACTAATACATGTAACAAATTATTAATTGAAGAAGTTATTACCTTGTATTTTATCATGTAATACACCAATAAAATTAGGTAGTTTAAAATGTCATATTTAGATATTTGATTAGATATGTTATTTAAAAGATAAATGTTGCTTAGTGAACATATTTCACAACTATAAACAAAACAATATTTATAGTAATTATATTTATATGAAAATTAACTCGTTGAGTACCGTCATTATAGACACAATTAAAGAACAATAGGTTGCGGTCACCGGTGACCGCTTGGTGTTTGACAGTTTAATAAGAAAAGACTGATGTAGACTGATGACTGTGTATTTAGATTGTATAGGTTTACATATTATGTGTAGAAAGAAAGAAACTACATATATTAATTGAGGCAGAAGCCATGTAAATGACCCTTATCTCCTAACTCATTAGGAATCATTTGGCACGGGCGACGTCGAACACGTAATTTAAGGCCATTTACCGAAAGTACAATTCTATATAATAATTTACTGAACTCTGTTGTAAGATAATGCTGACTTCCTGTTGGCATAAGAACTCCTTTCTACAATTTAATGTGAATCATTAAAACAGTATTTAAAAGTATTTTTAGTGAGTGTTGACATCACCTCACTTATTTCTTCGTGGGTGGTTACTGGTTAGTTTAGTTAGTTATAGTATAGTTGAATTTTATGAAATCGTCTTCCAATTGTATTTTACTTCTCTATTTATGGAATAGATAAGATAATTTTTAATAATGTGACTGGATTCATGTAAAATAATGGCCTGCGTATTTCTTTTTCATACATTTCCATAAACAATTTGTCAATTGGATATGTTGCATGACAAACATTAATTTATGTAAGAAAAATGCGTTACACTAATGTAGAAGTGACGTAGCGAGTCTATGTTGCTGACTCCTAAACTTAATTCGTTTTAATTTAACAGCTTTCTAATTGTTATTTCGACAAAATTATCTTTTCACTATGTAGCTCACGAAGTTTAGATGGTATCCTTTTCATACCCTGTCACCATCTCTATTAGCCATAATAGCTGTAGTATAATAGATGCATTTTGATTAATAAACAAAAACGGCTTCATCCTTATAAGGTCAATAACACATTTACAACTATAACTACAAAAATCACCTTTAACACTACAGAATAGGGTCGCTTTTAGTGTCACTATTCGCCATGTACTTACGATATAAAATTGATACATTTTTGAGCAGCATGTATAAGTTGTATCGTTCCTGTTTTGAATACAATGGCCGGATGAGAGGCGTTCGAAAGTTAAGTAAGACACAACCGTCTAAATAAATTCTATACATAAGTAAAAAAATATTTGGTACGTTCAAAAACATGTAAAATGAAGTATTTAACCACTTTTGAACACAGTTGAGTTATGAAATCTGTTCCAGAATTTGTCGTAATGTTTGTTTAGGTAGGTCGTTTGCTTTAAAGTTACACTACACAGCAAAGCGGAAGACACATCTCTGCAAATATCACGTACTATATACGGACGCCCAATAGCTATATACGGACGCCCAATAGCAATATACGGACGTTCGATAGCTAGGTGATCTTACTTGATACCTGCTGATGTACATACGCCATTTTCTTCAGCTATCTTTATTACAAAACGAAAATAGAAGTAAAATATATTGGCCGTATCAAACATCCATCCAACGCATTTATAAAATAAAATTGTTACTTCTGATACAATCATCAAAATATGAACCGCGTAATTTAATTAGTAAACATATATATTAAACTATGTCAAAGGAATGCTGTGTACAGGTTTATGTGCACTTAGCTCATTTTACAGTCCGTCAACTATTTTTCGTTTTGTCTTCAGTCTTCGCATTTGTTTTCATCTTGTAAGATAACAACAACTTGGAGCAAAGAGACGGAGCCACTAGCGTCTTTTTATGGAACCCTTTATAACTTTAAGAAATTATTCCTTTAACAATAAAATGCTCTTTTTAAAGATAACTAAATTACCCTTTATACGACATATGTTACCAATTAATGAAATACTGGTATCACAAAATATTTATGAAGAAACAACATTTTATCCCTTTTGTAACCTTTTATCCCCGAAGGGGTAGGCAGAGGTACACATTACGGTACTTAATGCCACTGTACAATGTAACACCCACTCACTATTTATGTTATGAGTGAATGAGTCCCATGTAATGGAGGTGAGCCTATTGCCATATACCGGGCACATTTCCAGACTCCGTGCTACTACTGAGATTTAAAAAAAACCCTGTAATACTTTGCTCGACCCGGGAATCGAACCCGAGACCCCTTACTCTGCAGTCACTTGCGATCACTCGGCCAATGAATGATCACGAAATAAAAAAGAAAAATAAGTATTTGCTCCGTTTCTTTGCTGTCATGTATAGTTTTTCGTTGTTATTTCAACGTTACCATATGCACAACCTAATTTAACTAATTTTAAAACTAGCGACCCGCCCCGGCTTCGCACGGGTGCAAAATGCATGTATTATACATATAAACCTTCCTTAAGAATCACTATATCTATTAAAAAAAACCGCATCAAATTCCGTTGCATAGTTTCAAAGATCTAAGCATACATAGGGACAGACAGACGGCGGATAGCGACTTTGTTTTATACTATATAGTGATTACAACGAAATGGCAATTTTCTTAACAAGGACTTTTCCACGGTTTTACCCAAGTATGATGCCATTGAATACATTAATAATCATATTCTTGCCTAACAATGAAACTTTTAACTGCGCAGTAATTGTTTTTACACCGGACGACAATTTTCGTGCTATGAGACGTAAACAAATCAGTGTAAATATGCAAGTGTGGGAGAGCCATGCTTCGGCACGAATGGGCCGGCTCGACCGGAGTGATACCACGGCCTCACAGAAAACCGACGTGAAGCAACGCTTGCATTGTGTTTCGTCGCGTGAGTGAGGTTACCGGAGGCCCAATTTCCCTCCCCTTCCCCAATCTCCCCAATCCCTGAATCCCCAACAATCCTCAAACTCCTAATCCACAAATAGCCGGTAACGCACTTGTAACGCCTCTGGTGTTCCAGGTGTCCATGGGCGACGCCGATTGCTTTCCATCAGGTGATCCGTCTGCTCGTTTACCGGCTTATGCCATAAAAAAAAAAAAAAAAAAAAATAAGGAAAGGACGACCAAAAAAAGATAATGAATGAAAAACCAATTGAAAAGATGGATAGCCTAATTGTGTGAGGAATTATTTGAAAGAGAAAGGATGACGTCTGAGGCATACATAATAATAATGCATGGGAGATATATTGTACCGACCTCAAGTAGGTATACATGGGGATAAGACCGAGAAGACCAATTTTAAATTGCGGTCAAATTAACGGCTTAATGACATAAAAATGTATTTTAAAAAGTAAACTTAAGATGAGAGTGGACTAATATTTATAAACAACTAGCGACCCGCCCCGGCTTCGCACGGGTGCAATATGCATGTATTATACATACAAACCTTCCTTAAGAATCACTCTATCTATTAAAAAAAACCGCATCAAAATCCGTTGCGTAGTTTTAAAGATCTAAGCATACATACGGACATACAGCGAAAGCGACTTTGTTTTATACTATGTATTGAAGTATACATAAGTCCATATTGTGTAACAATAATAAAATTACTACTCAAGTTTATCTAGTAACTAAGTCTAATTGTAATTGATAAAAATGTACTAGTAGCACTCAAATATTTATCTTTCTTATGATTTTTAAACAATATTTTTGTGCGCAGCAAAGATAAGAATCGTAGATTATGTATATTTTACAAACAGGCCAAGACAAAGCGTACATTATAAATATAACAAAACTATAGTTCGACATTTCCTAATTCACTGCTCTGAGGAAAAATACGAAACCGAAACGAACTCAGAGGTCATAGTCACTTTCAAAGTCCAGACAAGACATCAGTAAAAAAAATAATGTGTGCATAAAACTAATGGTATAATGATTTAAACTGTCAAACACCAAGCGGTCACCGGTGACCGCAACCTATTGTTCTATAATTGTGTCTACAAAACCGGTACTCGACGAGTTAAGCCGGATATACGCCATTGAAACGAACCACGACGCGACGAAACGTTAACTGTTTTTGATCGATCAGTTTTTGAGATGTCACACTCAGATTGGTAGATCAATGGCATAATGGCATATTTTATAGAGCAACAACACATTTTTTTTTTTTTTTAAGGGGGGAAAATCATCGAATGACTGTCCCCGCCTGGGTGAGGCAGGAGGGAGTGTCAGACTCTTACTGACTAAAAACCACCCCGTTCCTTCTCCTGCACGTCGAGCCGGAGCCCCGGTTACCCGTTAGGTTCTCCGCGACAGCAACAACACATTAGATAACGTTGGAGGTGTGTCCTTTTAAGCATATTTCAGATTTATGAATAAACGTTTTACAAAAAAGAAAAAAGGACACCTAGAGGGTTATCGATTTTTTTTTCTTCTTTGGCAACCGAGTCTCCAAAATGGTGTTGTCGACTATACTGCCAGTATCGAGTGGGAATTTTTTTCAGGGTTATAGATTCATAAAGGATCTTGATTGACTAACCCCATAGCTGTAAATTCAACTGTTTTCAAACAAAATAAAACGGCAAATATCATCAAACGTAGTTCTTATTATTGTGTGCCAGTAAATTAGCAAGTACTAGAAAATTGTACGTGTTTTAGAATGATTAATGCCTAGAAAACTAGTCTTTAAAACATTAGATACTAAAAATGTAAGTTTAATGATACCGTTTCGCTCGAATTACTTATGTTCACATTCGTACGTTAGTCTTCTAAATTAATTACCAACTAAGTATAAGAAAAATATATAAAAATGTGATATTCAATTTTATTATCTTTCGTTGATAAAAGTACGGTCTGACATTGAACTAAATAATTACGCGTGACAAATGGCAAATATGGCTTCGTTACGAGAAGATTGATTGTTTTTATCGCGCACTTAACAAATATCCATAAGAAGTATCAATATTCATACTTAAAACTTACAATATTTACATTACAGTCCAGCATATCTTAAACAGAATTAAACTCAGTTGCACTTTGTAAAATTCAGCACAAAACACTCGAGAGTTTAAAGACCAGCTCTTTAAAATACTAATTTTGTCTACAGACGCAGTCGTCCATTGCGTCGACGAAGAACACAGATGCCAGTATCAGTTTTATGATATTAGTGTACCTGTGAGCCATGGAGATGTCACACCAGGGTGGGGCGGAGGGCGAAAGCCTCCTGAGGCAGGAGAGGGGAGCCGTCGTCATGCCTGGTCAGAGACAAGGACGTAAGTACCCTTTATAATAATATGTGTTTAGACGGTGCGTGAGTCATTTAGGCTTAATAAGAGGATGAACATGACCATAAAGGAGATTTCAATATAGTAAAACCTTAGTTTTTATCAAAACAGACAACCTTTTCGCGCGCTGCTAATAGTTGTGATCTTTTAAAAAGGATCTCGCATCGAATCATCGTGATATAGTTTCTATAATGTATTTACTATGATGAAACTGTTTCAGATACGTTATGCATATTTGAACTAGATATTTTACTTCAACAATGTATTATTTATTGCATATTTGAAACCACTATCTTGCGGAATCGTTTCCCGTCCGATAACACTGATAATCCCCTTTCCGTTTACCGTGACCCCTCCATTATAATACGGGAACTCCTTTGTGCCAATACTTCAAAGAAAACATCAAGATCTGATTCATATTGTAATCGCGTCCTATTTATTCACTGCATTCGTAAATGCACGCTCATGTGACTACGTCTGCCAAAGACACGCGCGAAAAATGATCTCCAAGAAACTTGGAATCATCATTCGCGGTCATTTCATTAGCGGTACTGTGCTAATTTTGTCATGATTTGACCTTGAAGATGATTTAATGATCGATTGCAAACTACATGACCGCTTTTCGTACATTACGATGATATCAGTGATTAGTGAACCAACCTTCTAGGCTTTTCTGAATTAATTGCCTATAGGTCTTACTTTGTCCTTACCAATGGCGGTCATGTCATGATCGACCTTTAACCATGCTCAATAACGATTGGATAATTAGAAATAAATGTTTAAAATGTCTTCAATTGCAATTATCTTTCATTGTCCATTATACAGATTGTAAACGTAAAACACGATTTTTTATTTGTATCTTCACTTCACACTCACGTCCCTTTTCGATTGTAAAGAAACGAAAGAAAGTTGTGTAAAAAATAATGAAATGTGCACGAAAAGAGAAAGAAGTATGAAATCCCATTTGGAACGTTACCAAAAACGAATATAGAGTGTAGACAAAAAATCGTTCGCGGATAGCTATAAATGGTCCACAAGTTTGCTTTCTAATAATTTAGGTGCTTCGTAAAATACTATTCGGTTTACCCTATAAATATGTACGTGTTGGTATGACAAACCCAGAAACGATATTTGGATAAAGCTTTTATTTGCATACTAAAAGTACAATGAACTTTTGCGTATTATAGTCTGAGATGTCTGAATGCCAAAATAGTCTATCTACTATTCTAAAACATGGTATATGAAGTGCATTACAGTTAAATAGAATATCAATGTTTGCGGTCAAATTGAAAAATATATTACACAAAATAGCGATCAGGCAGTTGTGTCGCTTTTACGTTTTTTGCTGACTCATAATAGTGTCGCTAACGTGACCCCATTAAGAACTGCTTTGGCCTATTTCCTTAACGTAAATATTATAAATCGAATAGTGACTTCAGAGTATTTTAAAAGCACTAACTCAAAATTGCCCCAAAGTAAGACTTCAGTAAAGCAAAAATTCCTAAAGTAAAAGTTTTCGCATAAAGCTTCTATAAGGAAACTTTGCTTCTATTTGCCGGCACTATTTCTTTTTGCTCTTATAAACTCGGTTTATGTCTATCCTTTTCTTTTAAGTTATTGATTCACTTCTTGTGTGATAAAGTATTTATTATCTTTTAACTCAGGAGTCTAAAAGACCACTTAACTCAAATGATGTATTTGTTTCTTATCTGATTATCTTCTTTTGGGTTTGTGTGCTTTCATTATGTCGATAGTAGGTACCTGCTGTGCTCAATTCTTGTTTCATAAATCTTAACAAAGGTAATAAATAAGTGTCCTTACACGTCTATTTAAGTTAATAGATATTTTCTTTACACCAATATAGTTTAAACGTCTTTAGAATTCAACACGCCATGTTTATGATACTCTCAGTCTTTGACTATAGACTATTCAATGATGCTTACTATACGATTAGTCGGACACACGTGTATTGCGAACAATAGGTCATCTTTTATTAACAAATGTCTCATATAAAGTGCATGTTTAGCCTTACTATGCATATAGATGCAACTAGATTTTCTGTGGCATATAAGTTAAACCTAATTTAAGCTGTGCAATGCGGATATAGTTGCTGTCGTTCCTGTTCACTCTTTGTCATCCGAAACTTGAAATTGCACATTTTGGCTAAAGAAGTCTTTGTGGCTAGACTAGAATACCACATTGTACACATTCATGAACAATGAACACTATCATTCAATGAACACTCAGCGATCGGTCGTTGAACCGACAATGAAGTACAATTTTTACAAAGTCCCCAAAAAATCTGAATCACCTGCAAGATATTTTTTCTGCATCATCATCAGTTTGCATCATCATATGCTTTGCACGTGCACATGTCTTCTGTATTCATACATTTTAAGTCCATAATTTTAATGCTTGGTTTCAAATGACACATAACTCGTTATAAATAATACTTTGTTTACTTACGTACTGTGTACATGCCTACGATTGTTATGGTCATCAAACATCAATCATGAAAGAATACGTACATAAACTGTATGCAAATACATTATATTGTCTCTCAAAATACGATTTCAGTCATACCTACATCATCATGGTCTGATAAACTGGGTCCGTTTACGGCTATGGGCTCGCTCACGCATGGAACTTATAGCTAGTCAACAGTGGGTGTTATGAACATAAATGCCTCCTTCGTGAACCGAAAGGCAAAGCTATGTATGTAAACAATAAAATAATTATTAAACCAGTTTAGTACACCCACTTGAGCAAGTGTCTCCTCTCCAAAGATGTCACTGGACTGTGAGATGTAGTCTTGTGCTTAATAGTTCGCGACTAAGATCACTCAGATCAGTTCGCCGCTCCTAAACGAACTAGTTCGCTCTTTTAGTTCGTCAGCTCCCGACTCGCAGTTGGAGTTGGAATTGGAATGAATCGTATAGGAGCTAGGAACGCACTGGCAGCCAAATCGCTCCCTAGTTCGTCAGCTCCCGACTCCCAGTTGGATTTGGAATTGGAATGAATCAGATAGGAACTAGGAAGGCACTGGCAGCCAAATCGCTCCCTAGTTCGTCAGCTCCCGACTCAGCTCATGACTTTTCAAGTGAGATCATATGTTATCGCATTTTTTAGTTCGGTCTTCACCATAGACTATACATATAAACGACTTCACAATCCTTGTACTTGTACTTTGAAATACGAACTAAGGAACTAAGGAGTTGGGAATGACGTGAACTAGTTCGCATATTTTGAATGTGGGAGCGCTTTTTTGAACTAGTTCGTTCGCGAACTACACAAGCCTAGTGAGATGTCTCTACTACTCATTACGGCACATCCGATGCTAACTGTTCAGTATTTCCTTATTACTAGAGTATAAATTGCATGCTTATGGCTTATAGCCAAGAAAGTGAGAAGACCACTTGATTGTTGTTGTGTTATTGTCAATCACAATACAATACACTATATTATGTTTGTTATAATATGTAAATTCCGTAGTTACATTCATTTTTGTTTGCCTGGTCGGTCGAGTGCTTGAATATCAGGTCGATCCCTGCAACGCAAAACGTTTTCAAATTCAAATGTGTGTTTTATAAATAAGGCACAACTCAGCGTAGGTATCTTTAGGTGCTCTGAGTGGTTTCTGACGCAGAACGTTATAATCGAAGCTTTGATTTAAAGTTGATAAAATCCATAAATATGGCAGTTGCTATAACAAGTTGTAATCGGGACATAAAAGATTAACTTGATAATTCGAGGCAAGAAAGGGTTTTGTGAATTGATTTGCGGCTTAAAATAATAAATGGAACTGTGCAATGCAATTCCTGAATCAGAAATGTCATTCAACACCTTGTAACCTCGTTTGTCAGAAACTCTGAGACTACGAAAACGGTATTTATTTATAGCAGTAACGACTGTAGAATAGTTACTACAATGTGCTATAGAATTCATAAGTAGCTAGTATATATATTTGATCATCTGATGAAAACGTCACAAGTCATGTTCAATTAGCGTCAGATCGCGAAAAAGTTGGTTACGTCAAAAACTTGTTATCATCTTGATATTCAGTTCAATAGTCGTAACATCTGTGATTAAACCAACTTCTCATGTAAGTAATATGTGTACTTATGTGACTAATGGATAATTTTATCGATATTATAGATAGCAAATGTCTATCTCTAGTAGCTAAAACCTACACATAGACTACTGATAAGAAGCGCAAGGGTCTTATCCAACTGTTGGTAGAGGTCTTTAAACAAAACACAAAGAAATATTACCCTATTTCTTAAGTAACAGAAAGAAGATTATAATAAGTGAATAAGTCTGACAGACGTACTAAAACACTCGGCCATTTTTATCCTAAGATAAAAAGCCGTGGTGCGTGTGACATTTAAATTAAAGAGGGTCTCCGTATAAAATATACCAGGTGTAAATGTTGAATAGGTCTTAAACAATGCAGATGATGACCTTCATGAGTCGATGGCGTGTGGGCTCCAGGCTGGTTAAGTGGCCTTTGTTCGGTATAGTACATATATAGACGTATACTTTCTTTTGTGACAAAGCAATGTTCAAGTACTGTCTTCAGGCACCTAGGTGAAATTTTTGTAGAGGACTATGGAGGCTTTTTATTGAGGTAGTTGTACCTTATTATGCCTAAGATGATTACGCCTAAAATAGACGTTATTGGAAGTTAAATTAAATTTGGGAATAGAGACGTTGAAACGTTATATATGAAATTATACGTATTTGTTAAAGAAATGCAAGTACATTGGAAGTGGGACGTCATTTTTTCGGGTAGTATAATGACGATGATTCCTTTCTAGAAGCACGTGCGTGAAGATTAAGTGTACATGATTAAACTTAAAATAATGAATGAGCACAATTTTGGCAGTTCCAGTTATCCTCTTTCTGCTAACACAAACGACCTTTAGATAGTCCCCTATACCACTTCCGGGAAAACTGGCGATTGTCAAAGCGATAAACATTTAACTTAA